GCCAGAGGGAACCCTGGAGAGGCGGCGGCTGCCCTACGTGAGCTATGAAGGTCCTCCCCAGGGCTATTCTGAGGCCCCTGTGGAGAAGAGGCGCCTCTGCAGATCGCTGTCTGAGGGGCCATACCCCTATCCACCTGAGCTGGCAAAGCCAGCCAACGGGGACTTCAGCTACCGTGGCCCAGGCTACCGGGAGGTGGTGATCCTGGAGGACCCTGGGGTATCTGCCTTATGCTCATGCCCAACCTGTGAGGAGAAGCTGGCAGTACCCACAGCAGCCCTTTATGGACTGCGGCTAGAGAGGGAGACTGGAGAGGGGTGGAGCAGTGAGGCTGGCAAGCCTCTCCTGCACCCAGTACGGCCTGGGCACACACTGCCTCTCCTAGTGCCAGCCTATGGGCATCACCATGCCCCAATGCCTGACTACAGCTGCCTGAAGCCACCCAAGGCAGCTGAGGAAGCACATGAAGGCTGCTCCTATGCCTTGTGCCCTGAAAGCAGGTATGGGCATCCAGGATTCCCTGCCCTGGTGACCTATGGCTATGGAGGAGCAGTTCCCAGTTACTGCCCAGCATATGGACGAGTACCTCACAGATGTGGATCTCCAGGTGAGGGCAGAGGGCATCCTAGCCCTGGTGCCCACTCACCACGGGCTGGCTCCATTTCCCCGGGCAGCCCACCCTACCCACAACCCAGGAAGCTGAGCTACGAGATCCCTGTAGAAGAACGAGGAGACAAATACCCACAGGCTTCAGCAGGACCCTCGGCATCTACAGGTGAGAGTCACTGGAATGGATATGCCTAAGGCAGAGGAAGGGTCTAGAAGGTCATAGGAAGCCAAGAAAGAAGGTACAGGGTATGAAATAGCCAGATACAAGAGCCGGTTCCTGCTCACAGCCCCTCCTCTTTTCCTTTACCACAGAGTCTCCTGAGCCACTGTCCTGGAGGGAGGGCCCCAGTGGGCACAGCACACTGCCTCGGTCCCCCCGAGATGCACAGTGCAGCACCTCTTCAGAGTTGTCTGGTCCTTCTACACCCCTGCACACCAGCAGCCCAGTCCAGGGCAAGGAGAGGTACACAGAGGGGCTGGGCAAGCCGCAACTTCTTTGTCCAAGAAGGCAGTGCTGGGGTGGGAGCTCTAAGCAGGGCTCTGCTGACCATCTTTCCTTCCTCCATACAGTACCCGACAACAGGACACCAGATCCCCCATCTCGGCACCCACTCATAGACTGAGTCCCAGTGAGGCCTTGCTCCCTGTTTCCCAGGGAGGCCCTGAGAAGTCTCCTGAGCAGCCAGCAAGAAGTGGGCCAGAGCCTCAGGACTCGAGTCCCTTCTCCTTAACCTCTTCTCCCAGCTCACCCAATAACTGGCCTCAGGAAAGGAGCCCAGGGGGCCAGTCAGACAGTGCTAGTCCCCGGGGCCCTGTGCCCACCACACTGCCTGGCCTACGCCATGCACCCTGGCAGGGACCTCGAGGCACCCCAGACAGCCCGGATGGGTCCCCCCTCACTCCTGTGCCTACCCAGATGCCTTGGCTTGTGGCCAGCCCAGAGCCACCTCAGAGCTCACCCATACCTGCCTTTCCCCTGGCCACATCTTATGAGACCAGTGGCCCAACTCAGCCTCCACTTCCTGAAAAACGCCACCTCCCTGGGCCTGGGCAACAGCCAGGATCCTGGGGCCTAGAACAGGCATCACCACCAGCCAGAGGCACCAGTCACCATGTCACCTTTGCACCTCTACTTCTAGATGCCACCCAACTCCCAGGTATGAGGGCCTTGAGAGGGTGGGGCAACCCTGACTGAACACATTCTCTCAGAGAGGGGAATTAGGGACTGGATAATTCTGGGATCTGAATTCACCCCTTTCTGTCCTAGAGCCCCCTACACAAGAGAGCCAAAGCAATGTCAAATTCGTCCAGGATACATCCAAATTTTGGTACAAGCCACACCTGTCCCGTGACCAAGGTGAGAAGCCAGCTTGCTCGCATCCTGCCCCAACTTCCAGGGATTCTGTTTTGGCTTGTAAATCCAATCCTAGCCAAAACCCTTGGCTCCTCCTGTTCAGCTTGTTTACCTTGGCCAAACCTCTCAGCAGCAGGTGATTCTGGGCTTTGGGCCCAAGGGGGTTAGACTCAACACTGTCAAAGCTTGTGTTAACTCTAACGTTCTGTCCCTGGCTGGGTGTACCAGTACACACCTGTAATCCCAGTATTTGGAAATTTGAGGCATCAGGGTCACAAGTATGAGGCAAGCCTGGACTATGTAGCATGATTCTGTCTCAAAGAAAAAAAGGAAAGGAAGAAAGGAAGGAAAGAAGGAAGGATGGAAGATAGATAAGAGAGATATAGATAGATAGATAGATAGATAGATAGATAAAGTTTTGTCCCCAAACTCTTCCCACACTTACAGCAATCAGAGCCAGGGGCCTAGAAACTTGTTAGCAGAAGGCTGCATGCAGCTCAGCCAACCACTGTGCAAACTTCTCTCTCTGATCCCTATCCACTGCCCTACAGCCATTGCCCTGCTGAAGGACAAGGACCCTGGAGCCTTCCTGATCAGGGACAGTCATTCATTCCAAGGAGCTTATGGGCTGGCCCTCAAGGTGGCTACACCTCCACCCAGTGCCCAACCCTGGAAAGGTACAGAATGCCTAAGTCCAAGGGAGGCATGAGGAGGTGGGAAAAACTTGCAGAGGCCAGATAGTGGGAGTAAGGCGGCATGTCACTTAGGGATAGGCAGGAAAAGACTTCTACTGTGAGGAGAGTCCCATCAATGGAGAAGCTAAGGACCTGGGATATGGTAAAGCCTTACTTTCCTTTCCTCTCCTATCAGGGGACCCCTTGGAACAGCTGGTCCGCCATTTCCTCATTGAGACTGGGCCCAAAGGGGTGAAGATCAAGGGCTGTCCAAGCGAGCCCTACTTTGGTGAGAAGCCCAAGCCTGGGAAAGGTTCCACCAGGCTGGCTGCTGGAGAAGCTAAAAGAGTTTAGGATCAAAGGGAATGCTAGATGCACCTACTTTGGTTATCTGTTAGTGTAATCCCCTGGGCTGAGACCTTGAAGTGGACCACAGCTGGGTCCACTTACCTCCTCTCCCACAGGCAGCCTGTCCGCCTTGGTCTCTCAACATTCCATCTCCCCCATCTCCCTGCCGTGCTGCCTGTGTATTCCCAGTAAAGGTGGGTAATCTGTGTTCCTCACCTCTCCCTGCCCTACTAGCCAGGGTAAAATCCAGAGCCCAGCTCCCAACTCTCTTGACAGAGGGAGTTCTCTAGCTCCTAGGAAAGCTCCTCCTCCTTCTCACCTTCACTGTTGGCCTTCATTTCCCCCCAGATCCTCTGGAGGAGGCCTCAGAAGCTTCAGTGCCCAGCAACATGAGCACAGCAGCAGACCTTCTGCGTCAAGGTGCAGGTAGTGATACCCAGATTTCCATGCATTCTGACATCACTGGCTTGGGAAAGTGCATGGACTGATGGGGGTGGGGAGCAACCAAGCACCTGGGAGCCCACAGTGCCATCCACTCTCACTGACCACTTTCTGGCCCTCTAGCCTGCAGTGTGCTCTACCTGACCTCAGTGGAGACAGAGTCACTGACAGGCCCCCAAGCCGTGGCCAAGGCCAGCTCTGCAGCCCTGAGCTGCAGCCCTCGCCCGACACCAGCTGTGGTCCACTTCAAGGTCTCAGCCCAGGGGATTACACTAACAGATAACCAAAGGAAGTGAGTCTGGGTGTCTGCCTCGAGGAACTGGTGAGGGCCTTGGTGACCCAGACTCCTGAGTGTGAACCTTTTACCCTCCCTGCTTCCTCACAGGCTTTTCTTCCGCCGCCATTATCCAGTGAGCAGCATCACCTTCTCTAGCATCGACCCTCAGGATCACAGGTGAGCCTCCTTGCAAGCCTTCCCCAGCCCTGCATCCTGCCAACCCCAGCCCAGCTCTTTCACTAGCCATGCCTGCATTGTACTCCCTCACAGCCCTTCTCCTCTTGCAGATGGACCAACCCAGATGGCACCACCTCCAAGTAAGCCTCGCCCAGAAGCCCAGCCCTTCTCCCCCAGGGCCTCAACACCTCTTTTCTCCTTAGCCCCGGAGAATGTCAGCCTACCCATGGTCAGTCAGTCCCCTGTGAAAGGGATGTGAAGGCTTCACCCTACCCTGGCTTTATTCCTCTAGGATCTTTGGTTTTGTGGCCAAGAAGCCAGGAAGCCCCTGGGAGAATGTGTGCCACCTCTTTGCAGAGCTTGACCCAGACCAACCTGCAGGTGCCATTGTCACCTTCATCACCAAAGTTCTACTGGGCCAGAGAAAATGAAGGAAGGCCACAAGCTCAGAGCCCCCATCAACACTGCACCCTTCCCAGCACCTCACAGCCCTCACTTCCTCTGGCCTGGCCCAAGTACCCCAGGAACACCCTCCCTGAAGAAAAGGGAGCAGGCACTGACCTGGGCCATTGCTCTTCCCCCACCCAGCCTGCTAAGCTAAGTGGATGGGCCCATGAGATGATCTGGCATGTGAGCAGATGGCAGAGACGGGCATGTGAAGGGTGAGGAGGTATCAGCAGTTAAGCCCCAAAGGGGTTCAGGACAGCCCCACCTGCAGAACATCAGCCTGCAGAGGAACCAGGCCATGTCAGCTCCACCCAGCTGCAGGTCCCAGCATGGTGGGGAGAAGGGAGAGGTGGGGGAGCAAGTCACACCCTTCTGTACTTCCCTTCTGAGCAGAGATCAGAGTGGGACCACATGGATAGGGGGGAAAAAAAAGAGAGTCTATTTTTGTCTAATAAAGAATTTCTACGAACTTCTATGCGAGTTGAGACCTTGCTCACAGGAAGGTCAAAGTTCCCTTTGCCCAAGAGCATACCTAAGCTTCCTGGGAGCATCCAGCCCATGGAACATGGATCATCCATCCCTGCCCTAACAGTGTCCACGTCCGCCCTGAAGCAAGGGTCCTCGTTGTGCCCCTCCCTCTGGTCCTGAGAAGGATTCTCATTCTGGCCATACTGATAAATATGGAAACTCTGTTTTTATTGGCTGTATAAACATCTCTCATCTGTACATACATTTCATACATTATAGTGCAGGGCCTGAAGGGACAGCCACGGGGGTCCCAGGAGCACCACAGTGCACCTACTTTCCCCATGGCTCTACCCACTCTGTGCAAACTGAGGCCAATGGCTCCTGCTCCCTCTTCCTCCCAGCAGAAGTCACTGTTACAGGGAGGGCTCAGGGGTTAAAGGGTACAAGGAGATGGGAGTCTATGTAAGTGCTAGCATCAAACACTGAGGCAAACAGGCAACTGGCACAAGCAGCAAGCTGGAATGTAGGGGTAGGCAGAGATGGGGCAGGAAATGGAAGCGAGGGGCCAAGCTGCCCCTCTAGGCTGGCTCACCACAAGCATCACCCCAAGACAACAGCACCATGGCTGGACAGGGAGATAGGTGAAAAAGCCCCAGTCCCACAACCCTGTTAGCACACACCCTGGGCAGCCATTGGTGTGTCCAGGTGGGGGAGCCAGAGTCTCAGGCTCTCTGTGGGATGATGATGCCTGAGTGGGTTGGGTAAGGGGCAGCCAGCTCCGAAGGGAGAGAATAAACCCTAAAGGACTGGAGCAGCAGCCAGTAAAGAAATGGTCCAAGGGTGGCCCCTAGCCAGCGGTGGGGAGGACAGCAGCAACTGGTTCACACAATGAAGACAGGGAACAAAAGAGAGTTCAGGGGAAATACTGTGGGAAGTAAGCGACAGGGATGACTCTCCTACACCCTCTGCACAGCTCCTGCCCAACAAGCAGCTGGGAGGATGAGGGGTTCACCCTTCTCTACTTGCCTGGGGCCAGTGAAAGGGGTATCCAGATGCCCACGGGCCAAAGGAAGGGTGAGTCCCCCTGTCCTATATATCAACATCATTCTTTGGGTCCATTCCTATCCAACCAGGGACTGATGATAAATAGCTCCAGGTCAGAAAGGTACAGCTTGACAGGATCTGGGCTGACAGGTGACCACATACCCCAGGACCCACTGGGCAAGCAATCCTGGAAGAAGTGAGGAACTGGGCATCTGGCCCTGCAGAGGGAGAAGGCAGCTGCAGATGGGAAGCTCCTAGCCACTCAAGGGATGTAGGTCTACTTTGACTTTCTCCCCACAGCTTAGCATTCCAATGGTGGGGTAGAAGCCTCCAGAAGGTACAACGGCATCCTTCTTTCCGATGATCTTGCCATTCCGTGTAAAAAAAACCTGGAGGTGGAAGCAAGAAGAATGGAGCAGACACTGGCCTCTCTGAGGATTCTGGAGTTACACAGACCTGAAGTCACAGCATGGGCTTGAGAAGAGACTTAGGGTGATATAGGAAGTGACCACGAGAGGGCCTCTTGAGTCTGGGAAACAGCCTCCTGCCAGCCTTGCCCTCGCCTACCCTGGCCCAGAGCCCTGCTCCCACTAGCTGCCAGCTCCTGCCCACCCAGAAACCCTAGAACAAGCCCCATCATCTGCTTACTCACCACCACCTTCTTGCCCTCATGCTCCTGTTCTATCTCTTCCCCATCTTCTTCCTCTTCCTCTTCCTCCTCTTCCTCTTCTCCTTCCTGGTGCAGGTACATGACATTTCGGACATTCCGCACAGCCCGGGCCGTTGGGGACAGGATCACTGTGTCACAACTGTCATCACTGTCCCCTAGAACGCCAGAAAATGAAGTTCCTATGGTGCCCCCTACTGTACACCACTGAGCAGCCAAGCTGTTCCCAGACCCTACTCACCCTCACTGTCCAGAATATAGTCCCGGGGGAACATGATTCCGCAGCCCATGATGTCCCCTTTGTAACAGCGTGGCCCGAAGGGGTCCCCCATACCACTGCCGTGAAAGATCTTCCCATCATCTGTTGGAGGGAAGGGAGAGGACACACTTGAAGGAGCACTGATGATGTTCCTTGAGTAGGAAGACAGATGTGGAAAGGGGGTACCAGATTCAAAAAGGAGGACACAACACCCATGGGAGCAAGGGAAAACTGGCCAAAAGATGGGGGGACGCACAAGAGAGGGGAGGAGTGGTATCGGGAGCCAAGGCTCAGCCCTCTTCTCAAGAAAGCCCTAAAGGAAATCAAACAGACCAAAACAAGAAAATGAGGAATCTGCAAATCTGCAGGAAGGGCGCAGAGGGAGCCAACTCAGAGGCCTGGAATGTCCACTTTGGACCAGTCCTCCCACTGCAGTCTTGCTTCCCTGGCTTTCAAGGCTGGAAGGAAAACAAAGATGAGGAGAAAGCACAAGCAGCCTGGAAAGGGAAAAGAAGCCATTTATTAGGCCAGACATGGTAGTGCATGCCTGTAATCCCAGCAGTCAGGAGACTGAGGATGCCACAGTTTGAGGCCAATATGGGCTACATAGTGAGACCCTATCTCTAAATAAAGAAAGAAAGAAAGAAGACGAGCCCATTTATGAGAATCTCTGTCTCTTTCCTCCCCTCCTACTCACCTTCCTGGGGCAGCTGTCTACTTACCTGCATGATAAGCCACAGACCCTCTGCTCCAGCCAGGGTGCCTGTTCTTGGGATAATCCTGCACCAAGAAGAAAACAGAAAATCTATTAGGTTTCGGGGCTGGGGATTTAGCTCAGCGGCATAAGCACCTGCCTTGCAAGCCGGCAGTCGTGAGTTTGATCCCCGGTACGGATAAAAAGGAAAAAGACAAAAAAAAAAAAAAAGAAAATCTATTAGGTTACATATAACAAAGAAGACAGGCCAGATGTTGTGGTACACTGCAGTCCTGGCCCCTGGGAGCTGAGACTAAAACAGGAGGATCACAATCAAGACTAGGCTGCAAAGCAAGTTCAAGGTTGGCTTAGACTAAACAGTGAGACCCTATCTAAAAAAAAATGAAACAAAACAAAAAAGACAAGAAATGGGGCATAGTGGTATATGCCTATAATTCTAGCACTAGGGAGCCTCAAGCAGAAAGATGTCATGTTTAAGGCCAGCCTGGGCAATTTAGTAAGAACTTGTCTCAAAATTAAAAAATAAAAGGGCTTGGGATGTAGCTCAGTGGTAGAGCACCCCTTGGTTTGATTTTTAGTAACACACACACACATGCGGATTGGCATTCAAAACTGCCATCTTTTGGAATACATGGCTATATATGAATCCTACAATTTCTCAGCCCCTCAGCAAAAAAAGCCCAGCATTTATGCACACCTTTCGGGCCAGGCCCAAGGCAATGTAGCATTTCTCTCCAGGGTCCACAATTTCCACCTCGAAGTAGTGGCTGCGGGTGCTCAGCGGGTGCCGGGCCTGGGCCAGCCCCACATCCACGATGCTCTTGCCCTTGCCCAGGTACTCCAGTAGCTGTGGGGGAAGAGCCAGGTGACATGAGGAACAGGCTAACACCACCCTGGAAACCTGCTTCCCAGGTAGTCAGGGCACCAAGTTTTCCTCGCTGACAGGGAAAGAATTCTAGAGACATAGTATGACCTCAAAGTCCTAGGCAGGCACAGAAGAACAGGGATGCAGTGGGGGCACACTTGGGTAGCATGATGACAAGAAGCCCCCTGCTGGATGCCTCCTTGCCTACCCTCCTGAGTCAAGACACCCATCTGCATTCTGGGAGACATGGGGAAGCAGCAAAATGACACACTGATCCCGAGTGCCAGGAACCACACTGGAACTCAAGGCAGGGCATCCCTTTTCTGATGAGCCCACTGGCCTTCTCTGCCAGAAAAAGGAAGACAAGAAGTGAAGGGGAGGCTTCTCAGAGGCTTAGGGAGGACTAAAGAATGCAGAAGCTGGTTGCCAATCCCAGCTATTTGGGAGAAAGAGATAAACTCAGAAACGGATCTGCCTGGGATGGGATTGATGTAATTTCTCAATGTTTTTGCTTTACTTGGCTGTGAAAAGAACAGTTTATCATTGGGTCAGTTTTTAAGAAGTACCCAGAAACTCAGAATGATCAGCTTCTTCTTTTTTTTTTTTTTTGGTACTAGGGATTGAACTCACAGCCTTGTGCTTGCCAGTCAGGTACTTATGCCACTGGGCTAAATCCCCGGCCCTACCCTTCATTTAATGTGGAGAGAGAGGTCAAAATGAAGGCAGACTTTCCTTCTCTATCTCCTGGTTGCCCTTTTGGGATGGATGAGGTGTGTGGAGCTAGCAAAAGGGAGATGACTGATACGTTCTTGGGGCTCCTTGTCCCACAGTTGTCCTGCCTGGGCATGATGGGGCAGCAAGCCCCAATCTGGGAGGATTTATTTATCAGTTGTCATGGTAATAATGAGTCTATGACTCAACCCCAACCCTTCTTTCCCCCATCCTCACCATCACCTGGCATTCCTTAATCCCTTTTAATTAGCCCAACTGCCCCTCAAGACCTTCTCCTACCCTCACATCCCCTAAGCACTGCAAAAATCATGCTTTCTGGGGATCTCTTCCACTGATGCCTGGCAAGCCTTGGGGCACTGGCCTCTCACCTGCCTCAGGACTCCTGCCTGAACAGGAAAGGAATTATGCTTGCCCGCACCAGCATGGAGGGCTGTGTGTGTCTCCAGCAGCGGTTAGTCCTGCCTGCTCATCATCCTTCAAAGAGTGGGAAAAAAGGGGTTTGCCCTGTTCAGCTCTAGCTTCCCTTGAAGTCCATCCTCCCCTCATCTCCAAAGAGAGGTGGGGGGAGATGGGCGGGTCCGAGGTGCATAAGAGGCCAACTAAGCCCACAGCCAGCCCCTCTCTGCATTTTGTCTCTGGCCCTCAGTGTGTTCCCTAGCCTGGGCTCTTGCTGTCTTCTCAGTCAGCAGGGAGGGGAGTGGCTTGGTGCATACTAGCTCATTTATACTCCACCCAGCCCATCCTCTCCACCCAGCATTGCAGAACTGGGTGGGGGGCCCCACAGCTGCCCTTGACCCATGCTGTCCAACTGGCCTCAGTGTAGGAAACACAGTGTTCTCTCGTCCCACAGCCAAAAGGCAGCTGATCCAGACCCTGATCCTTGGGAAAAAACTGAAGGCAGCAGCTACAGTTTTGTCTATGATCGGGTGGGGGTGCTTCCTAAGGCTAAAAGCTCAGGATGACCGGCACTGACATGGAACTCCAAAACCCATCCCACCCACACCACAGAACACTCAGGCCCACTGCTGACGCCCTGGATGATGGGTTCTCTGTGCAGAATATGTTCTTCTAGAATGGAGACACCTTCCGTGGAGAAAAGTCACCAGAATCACCTGTTCTACTCCAGATCCTAGGTGAGCTCTCTTATACCTTCTCAGAACACTGAGGGTAGAGCAGGGCCAGCCTCCCTGGCAAATCCTTCCCTAAGCCTGCCCTCCTTCAACTACCTATGCAAGTTTTAGAGCCTGAGTTGCTAGGCTCTTGATGTGAGTAGCCTGATCTGGGATGAGATGCCTCTTGGTGTTTTAGAAAGACAATCCAAAAAGATCTGAGTTCAAATCCTAATTCCTATTAGTTAGAAGCCAATAACTTGAGCAAATTACATTTACCTCATTAAAGCTCCGTTTCTTCATCAATAAAATAGGGTACAATTGCTTATGTCTCCAAAAACAGGTGAAAGACTAAAATAAAGTGAGCGCCACATGCTTGGCATGGAACCTACCACCCAGGTGATAAAAGCACATTCTGTCTCCCTCTAAATCATAACAGAAATGACATACCAGTCACAAAGGATATCTTTTTTATCAACCCCTACCTCTAACAACAATCCTTAGTAAAACACACACACAACCAGTGCCCAATCAACAAGAACACTTGATTGCTGTATTGAATAAATTTGATAAAATTGCTGTTTTTATATTTCTTGTTATCTTATAAAAACTAAAGAAAAATATTGCAATTTTTGGTTCTACTGTATTTAATTAAATAATTGAACTGGTAAGTGCTTAAATAAAAAATACATTTACTAAGCCAGGCATAGTGGGGCACATTTGTAATCCTAGGATTTGGTAGGCTGAGACAGGAGGAACACTACGAGTTTAAGGCCAGCCTGAACTAAATAGTGAGACCCTGTCTTCAAAAACAGATGCACTTAGTATATCTAACCTACCAAACACCACAACTTGCAACACTGTACTGTAGAGAATCAGTTTGTTCTCCTTTATGACTAGGCTACAGTTTGCTGACCGTGAACAGGGCTGAAAGAGAATACTGTATTACATATCACTAGCTCAGGAAAAGTTCAAAATTCAAAATTTGAAGTCTGGTTTCTACAGAATGCATATAGGTTTCACATTATCATAGTTGGCAATTCATAAGTCAAATTATCATAAGCCAAGAACTATTAGTATCAATGGAAAAGGCAGTTGACAGGGGTCAGAGAAGTATCTGGGCCTCCCTTGACTGTAAAGTAGCTTCTGACATCTGAACAAGTCTCTTACTTTTCTCTGGATTCCTTTTCTTTTTCTTTTTCTTTTCTTTCTTTCTTTCTTTTCTTTTTTTTTTTTTTTTTTTTTTGTGGGGGGGATTCCTTTTCAACAACAGCAGAAGAGAGTGTTTAAAAATGTGGGGGCATGGTGTGGGGGTTACCATAGTCTTGTTTGGGGGCAAAGGTGCCAAATGTCCTGCACATTAAGGAACTGTCCCAACTAGAATGCCAATAAGCTCTTGCTGAGAAATTTTGCCTAGGTTAGATCCAAGGCTCTCCCAAAACCTTCTTGGTACTAGGGTCCTTTGCTGAGAACACCACTCCAGCCAAGATAAACAGGCTGCAATAGCACTAACGCCCCTGAGCCCATTCCCCCTTGCCACTCAGATGGGGATTTTGAAAACAGAGAAGGAAAAGAGGAGAAACAACTCTGCTAGACAGCTTTAGAAAGAGGTGGCACAGGAATGGCCCAAATGACCTCTTCTAAGAGCCTCCAGACTGACATAGCTCTGACTACTGGGCGAGAAATACAGTGGATGGTAAGCAGCGACTGGAGGGCACAGGCCAGGGACAAACAGGCCTGGGAGACCCAAGACCATGAAGGAAATCAGGTAAGTCAACTCACTTGAAAAAGAGACAGCTGGTAACCTAAAAGGGGCACAGCACTGAAGAGACTCAAATCCAACTCACCCCACAGAAGCAAATGCTCAGGAGCAGTGATCCCATGCCCCCAGCTGTCCTAGGCTGAGGTAAGGGTCCAAGATTGAGCTAAACTCAACAGTTTATGTCTAAGAAAGAAAAAAAATTGGTAACCGAGTGGCTTGAGGATGCTGGGGGAAGGGTGGAGAGGAAGGAAGGCTATTTATAAATGTCTCCAGGATTCCACATCAATTAGAAAAGATGTCTGGGAGGAGCTGGGAGCAGAGCAGACAGTCCAGGCAGAAAAAGGATGCCAGGAAAAAACTCCTGAGTGGAGGTCAGGGATGAGAGTTGGAACAGTGCCCTGGCTCAGACCAAGTTCAACTCCATAAATGTTGTGAGAATAATGGTAGATGGGGTAAAGAAAAGAACAAGAGGGTACTCAAAAAGTGGATATTTGAGACCTTCTGGCTCCTAGCCCAGCAAGTAGGGCTGTAATGGGTGCATTAGGTTGGAAGCTGCAGGAGGGCACACTTTGTGCCATTTTCCCTGAGCTCAACTTACCTTGAACTCCAAAAGGGGGAAAGACTCACTACTAATTCACTCCCACACCCATATGCTTCTGTTTTGCTATCAAATGCTTATTTGAAAGCAGACTGGATTAGGGTGAGAAGGCCAGAGGGTGGAGAAAAAGGCCAGGCTGGGAGCAAGGGGGAGCAGTGGGACAATTCCAAGTAGGGAGCCTAAGCGGCCCACCAGAGGTCAGGACTACACTCACTGTTCAGACATTTCCAACACAGCACAAGGCACAGAACAGACAAGAAAACACCCTCCCTCCAGGCCCATTTGCTTCTAAAACCCAAGGAGAGCCAGGAGTGCTGGTACAGGCCTGCAATCCCAGCATTTAGGAGGCTAGGGCAAGAGGACTGCTGTGGCTCAAGACTAACATGGGTTACATAGTGAGTTCAAGGCTAGCCTGAACTACGTAAAGAGGTTCTGTGTCAAAAAATAAACAAACAAAGAAAAAATGATAACAAAAAATCTCTGGCAAAGACTAAATAGGTCTGGGGAGAAGACAGAAAAACCAAGCCTCAGAGGGTCAAGGATTCTTCCTCTTTGTCTCCTCACCTTCTCTAATACACAAGGAAGACAGGAGAGACACACCGAAACTTAAGAAAGATCTTCAAGAACTTTCTGCTCCATAGCACTATAAACGGAAAGCCCAGGCCAGTTGAGCTGGGATCAAATCAGAGGGAGATATTGGCATTCTGTCTTCAAAGCAACCCCTAACCCTTTGAAGGCAGGGTCGGAGTGGCAGAGCACGCCAGATACTGAAGGAGCCCAAATAGAACAAGAGAGCTTCCACTCGTTCTGAATCAACAGCTAACCTGAGTTCTCAACCGAAGGGAAGCAAAGCAAGGGAATCGGCAATAAAGAGAAGATGTGGTCAGGAATAGTGGTACCTGCCTATAATCCCAGTAATCTGGGAGGCTGAGGCAAGAGGATCCTGATATGAACCCAGCCTGGGCAATTTAGTAACTTAGTGAGATCTTGTCTCAAAATAAAAAGTAAAAAAAGCTGGGACTATAGCTCAGTGAAGAGGCCCTGGATTCAATCCCCAACATGAGACAGACAGACAGAGAAAGAGACAGAGGAGAATCAAAGAGAGACAGAGAGAGAGAAAAATGGATATGGACTCCAATTATCATGTTGAAGCTTCAAGGTAGCCTGCCAAAACTCCATTTCCCAGAGTCCCACAAAAGGCACTGTCCTTCCTTGCCATGGGAAGCAATGTAGACATGCTCATGTGGCCACAGCACTTGCCCCAACCCTCTCCACCTCCACTCCATCCACTCCAGCGCCCTTACTTACAGTCCCACAGACTCTGACATCATGCAGCCGGCCCCATTCATCCTCGTAACTGTCCACCATCATGACGCTATCGTCCTCACGACCCAACTCAGCATTGAGGTGCAGTCGCACCTCCTCACCCAGGGAATGCATGCCAACTGCTGGGAAAAGCCCATCTGGGGACATGGGCATGATGGTGGAGCCCACCTGCAGCAGACAGATGGAGGGAGGATGTTACTACGTGGCTCACTTTTCCACAGCTTATGCAATTCTCACAAGGGTACTTTCAAGATGATGCAACCAATAATTTTCACACATACAGTGTCAGATTTTTTAAAAAGGCACAAAAAGTTGAAAATTTTGCTAAGCACCCCTGAGCAAGGTAGCCACTGTGCTAGAAGGCTAACACAAGGCTCAAGACTTGCTGCCAAGTGCTTTCAGGATGTATGCAAGTGTGCTGAAGCAGAGAAGTGTTGCAGCCCAGATGCTGAGGAGACAGAAGCTTACAGCCAAGGCCTGAGAAAACAGTTTTCCAGGGTAAGCAAAGGAGTTAGGATAGAGGAGAAAGCTATCTTCTATCTGCTCTTGTCCTCTTTCTTCACCACTACTAGTCTCCCTTTGAAGAGGAAAGGGAAGAAGAATTAAAAGGAAATTGCAGAAAGGACATTATTCTTGCCAGCATTCAACTCAAAATTCAGGAAGCCCTTCTAGCTTACATACTCATGCTGTAATCTTTTCTTTTTTTTCTTCTCAAAACATCCCCCAAATCACTCAGTTCTGGTCTCTACAATTTCCGCTCATCTTCCACTAGCTACACTAACTTGTCCTCAAGGTAGGCAAGAAAAATGTCTCGTGCTACATGCAGGGGACCTCAGACACATCTGAAACTGAACTGAAGGAGATGGGGATTAAGTGCAAGGGTACCCAGCCGAGTTCCAGCCAGCAGATTCTCCCTAGTCATTCCCACAATCCTTGTGCAGCTTCAAATCACTCAATTAACCAACATTTCCCACTCACCCGCTTCCCATTTTTGGTGAAGAAGATCTGGGCAGTCTGCACATCAAAGGATACAGGCTCAATGCCACAACCAATCCGGTCCCCAGAGTTGCACTTTGACCCAAACTGCCGACCCTTGGCTCGGCCATTGTACAGCCTATGGAGAAATGGCAGACACACAGGACCATACTTGCCCTCCCACTTCTCTCCAGTACCCTCCCCAGCTCCTGCCATCACTCTAGATTTCCTACATGAGCTCCGCCCTGCACCCAATCTGCATATCTGCAAGGGTAGTCACTTCCTGTCCTGATCAGAAAAGTCTATGAAAATACTCCAAGACAGGTGAAGCAATGGGAAAAGCAATGTTCAAATAGCCCTTCCTAGCTAGGATTCCCAAATCCATAGGAGAGGGGTCAGGTTCCACAAGGGCCACTCACTTGCCATCATCAGCATGGTAGGCAACAGAGTCTGGCAACCAGCCAGGCTGATGATCCAAACTGTAGTACTGAGGGACCAGCCCCACAGCAATGGTGCCCCGGACACCACTATCCACAATAGACACCTGGAGAGAAGAGAGAAAGCACAGTTAGCAGGGATGGGAAACAGAATGCAGACTGAGGCTTAGATAGACAAAGGACTGGCCAGAGAAGAGGCCTACTTTACCATGATTATTTAGACAACTATTTCCAAGTTCTGGAAGAAATAGGGGAGACAGAGTGGATGACAGGCTTGGGTTAGGGCAGGAAAGCATGTGAGTCAAAATCCACTTAAGTAAGGAGCAAAAGAGCAGAAGCACTGGGCAATAGGATTCCCAAGATACCTACCTTCAGGTCAGGGCCCATGCTACCCTGCACCTTTCCTAGCAAGAGGATAGTACAGAAGGAACATTAAAAGGCCTGGGTATGAATCTAGGAAAGGAACTCCTTGAAACTTAATACTCTTACCCTTCATCTCACCCTCTGCTCTGCCCACCCACAGCATGATCACCTCAAAATAATTGCTGTCCTTGGTCAAGGGTCGGGAAGCCACATAGCAGCCAACTTCACCAGAGTTTCCATGGTAACTGAAGGAAGAATGAGAGGGGAATTCCATTAGCTGTCCAGCCCCATGTTGGGAGAAAGGCCTTAGCATCCCAACCCCCACCCTGCAAGGACCATTACAGAGAATGCATCAGGTCACACTTCAGGATAGCTGCACACAAGATACTCAAGGTCACCCACCCTTTTCACTGTCTCCAGCCAGGGTCCAATTCACATTATACCGTGGAAGTTGATACAAGCCTGACTTCTTCAGCTTCAAGGGGAAAGAATGCAGAGACTCCCTATTTGAGGTGCCACAACCCTATCTAACCTCAGTCCCTCATGCTGAAGCACCTGCCCTTGCCTTTGGCTCTGCTCTCAGTGGAGCTGGAGAGCAGCTGGTCTCTGTTTTCTGTACCAAAGCCTTTCCAGAGTAGGAAGACAGTTACTCAGTCCCTACTCTTCAGCTGTCTTGCCTTCAGGATACAAAGCACTACTTCCTTCCCCTTTCAGTGACAACTTCCGTGAAAGGGGCTCAGAAGGAGTCAGGGAAAGGGTTCAAAACAGAAAAGAAAGAAAACAAACACACAAACCAAAGAGTTAAGAAAACACTAGAGGTGGTGGGCAGGATGCACTACAGAACAGTCATTCCCCCCGGAGAAGACTACTGCCTCTGAAATCATTTATTTTATTTACTTTTGTGTATATGTAAGTAGGGAAGCACTGGGGAGGGAATCCAAGGCCTTGTACATACTAACTAATTGCTCTATCAGTGAACTACACTCCCACCCCAGTCTAATACCTTTGAAATAGCCACTGTTCACTGAACCCTGTCGCTGAGACATGGACAGAAGGGGATTCAGGCACCCTTCATACCCACCTGTCTTCACAAAGAACCTGGAGAACTCCTGATATCCTGGCAGCCTCCTATACCTGACACAGTCACTTCCAGTGCCCAAACAAATCAGGAGCTTGCTGGGTCCCTTTCTTGCCAAACCAAAACAGAGTGACCCAGGGACAAAAGCAGAGAGGAACACATACTGCTTCACTCAGGCCTCCAAGGTTAAAAGAGCACGCTCCCTCCAGTGCAGTATACATAATCCCCTTCCTCTGAAAGAAAAGTCCCCTTTTACTTCTAAGATCTGGAACAGAAAGGAAAACATGAAACCATTCCCCTAAACACACCTCAAAGTATCTCCATCCACAAGGATATGTTTGAACCTCTCCTGATACCGGAAAGCCCGGACCTCTCGAATCTCCCGGATTCGACGGCGCCAATTCAGAAACCGGTAGTGCAGGTTGAGGTCATCCATCTTGTTCAAGAGAACAAACCTGCCAAGGAAAGAAGGGACTGAGGAAGAAGCAGGATTCTGAGCAAAGCATCTCAGCCTGCTCAACCCTAACTTGAAGAGGGCACTAGGCCTGAGCTGAACTGCCCAGACAGATCTCAATAATCCCATCTTCAATCCCATCATTCAACATTTACTGAGCTCCTACTGTATGTGCTATACAATAAAATGAATGAGACTCCTATAGTTATAGAGGTTTCTACTCTAACAGGCTGGGGCAACAAGACAGAATAAAAAGGGCCACAACCATGTTAGACAGTAGAGGAAAAAACAAAGTCAGGTGACAAACAGGGTAACAGAATGGACAGTCTCTTTGAGGAGATAGCATCTTAGTAGAAAAGGAACCAAAGGGGCTGGGGATTTAGCTCAGCGGCATAAGCACCTGCCTTGCAAGCAGGCGGTCATGAGTTCGATCCTCAGTACCGATTAAAAAAAAAAAGAAAAGGAACCGAGCCTGTGACAGCCCAAGGAAGAACATTCCAGGAACAAATCTTTAGGTGGAAGGAAGCTGGGGTTGTAAAGGAAGAACGAGGCCAGGGCACCTGGCGTGTAGAGAAAGTGAGTGAGAATGAGTAAAATAAAAAGGCAGGAGCCAGAATGAGGCCCTACAGACCGTGGAAAAGTTTAGATTTTGTTCTATCTGGTGGGAAACCTCTACGGGGGTTTTAAGTAAGTAATGATATGATTTTAAACTTTATCAGCTCTTAAAGCTCGTTTAGGCTGTGCTTGCTGCAGCAGTTCAGATGAGATGGCATCCACTGAGATACTGGCAGTAAAGCAGACAAATGGGATGATCCAGCTATTTAAACAACCTTGAGTGCCAAGATAGGAATGAATGAATTCCTCCTAGGTGCCAAAAGTGAGAGAAAAAGGTGAAGTACTGTTGTTTTAGTCCTGAAAAACGCCTCACACGTAGTGGGTGTTTAGTTAACCTCGACTGGGCAGAGTTCCACCAATACCCTATTATCACTCTTCTGCAGAAACTGCAACCCATCACGCGGCCTGGAAGAGTAGACACCTGTGGAGCAGCCGGGAGTGGTCCCATTCCAGGTCCTGGGCCAGGGCCCAACCCTAGGTACGTGCTGGCGCTTGAGACCTCAGGGCATCTGGCTGCTTGGAAGCCCATAACCATGGCACCAGTGACTGGTAGTCACACTGGGCTCTGCCTCCACCCCACCTCGGCCTGGTCACTCTGGCCACACTCCGGAACAACGTGGCCCCAACCTGTCACGGTAACAACGCCCGTTCTCATCAGGCCCTGCACTAGGTTACCGGGTACCGACGGTACACTCCAAGGGAGACCGTAGAACAGAGCGTAAGGCCCCGCCCCTCAGCCTGGAGCCCCCGCCCAGGACCCCTGCCTTGGGGTCCCGGGAGACCTGAGGCCTCCGGGACCCGCCCCCGATCCCCGCCTACCGGGGCCGCCGCGTCCTCCTCATCCATAGGCCTCTCAGCTCCGCTCACAAGCTCTTCGGCCACCGCCACCACACACATCCGGGTCCCCGCCCTTTCCATGCTCCACGAGGTCCGCCTTTCCCCACCCTTTCTGGCCAATCATCAGCGACCTCTAACGACGGGCACCTGTAAAAGCCAATAGCAGGGCATAGGCAGAGTGTGAGGTGCGGCCGGGTGAGCCGAGTACTTAGTGCGGGCCCAGGTCTTGTAAACCCGGGACCCAAGAGTGTAGGGGAGGCGACGTGGCGGTTACCCAGCTTGCGGGAGAGACAGTCAAGAGGCTGCTCCTGTGCGGGGCGGAACATTGCATTTCCTTTGTGTTCATTCGGTGTTAGAAAAGATGCTGTAATCTTTACAGGAAGGTCCTTTTACCCTTCTGAGATGAATTCTTTTTATCACCTTTTACGTGTGAGGAGCCAGAGGCTGTAGCCTCCATGGCCGGTGCATTTAACAGTTGTCATATGCTTTATTCTCTACAGAGCTTCATTTCCTGTAATGGTCTGTCATTCTGGGAAGGACATTCTGTGTCAGTACCAGAGACGTGCAAAAACCACAGTGACATGTAAACCAATGCTTTTGAGGAAGATTTGGTTGAGCCTACGGGGAAATGGGCCGGAACGGCCAGAGACTGTAAACTGTAAATTGAGGACCTACTACAGGGTGTTTGTTCATTGTGGAGTTTTGTTTTTGTTTTGGGGGGTTTTGTGTTTGTTTTGTTTTTTGAGTTTGCTTTGGTTTTTGTCTTTTTGAGACAGGGTCTCGCTATGCAGTTTAGGCTCACCCTGCAGCACAGGCTGGTCTTGCAAAGATCCTCCTGCCTCAGCTTCCCGAGTGTGCCACCATGCCCAGCCTTGTGGGGAGAGTTTTGTTTTTGTTTTTGATACAGGGTCCTGCTATGTATTCCAGACAGGCCTCGAACTCATGGTGATCTTCCTACCTCTCAGCTTTCCAAGTGTTGGGATTACAGGTGTGCGCCAGCACACCCGACTAATTGTGGGGAGTTTGGACTCGTGGATTAGGACTTGCCAGATTTGTCATACCCTGAGCAAGAACCTATTTCAAAAATTAAAGCTATCAATAAAACACTACCAACATCTAGAGTTGTAGGATCTTCACAGATCCCCTGCAAGGTGTACAAAGGAAGGCGTAGAAATGCCCCAACTCAACCCCCAGAGCCAGCATTCACACACACACACACACACACACACACACACACACACTCTACATCATGAGTCCAAGGCTACTCCAAACTTTACTAATACCCTATCCAAAAAACAAAAGTTAATAATAAAGTGAATTATGTAAAAAAGAAAAATTCCCCCTTCTTTATAGCATTTTATTGATGACATACATTGCAATACTTTTATTATAAAAATAAGTGTGTAAAACTAAATAAATATATAAAACATGTTGTAGATCTGTCTCCCTTCTGTCAGGCCTTAGACCTATCCTATTTTCCCCATAACAAGGTAAAGTATGGCCACTTGCCATAATGAAAAAGGGTAGTAAAAATAGGTATAGTTGGGGAAACAGCCCAATACTGTGCAACTGAAAGGTCAAAGATTTAGTATTCTCATCCATAAACAATAATTACTGGGCCAGAGATATAGCTCAGCAGCATAAAGTGCCTGCCAGGCAGGCGTAAGGTCCCGAGTTTGATTCCTGATACCAAAAAGAAAGAAAGAAAGAAAGAAAGAAAGAAAGAAAGAGCAGAAGGAGGAGGAGGAAGAGGAAAAGGAAAAGGAGAAGAAAGGAGAAAAAGAGGAAGAAGAAGAAGCAGAAACAGAAGCAGGAGAAGGACGAGGAAAAGAAGGAGAAGGAGAAGGAGAAGGAGGAGAAGAAGAAGAAGAAGAAGAAGAAGAAGAAGAAGAAGAAGAAGAAGAAGAAGAAGAAGAAGAAGAAGAAAGGGGAGGAGGAGGAAAGAATTATTAAAGTAGTCAGGCATAGTGGTGTACACCTGAATCACAGCACTCTTGGAGGCTGAGGGAGAAACACTGCAAATTTGAACCCAGACTGGCAATTTATTCAGACCCTGCTTCAGACTAAAAAACAAAAAAGCTGGGGATGTAACTTGGTGCCAGAATTCTGGGTTCAATCCCTAGTATCACAATGTTTTTGTTTGTTTTTGTTTTGAGACAGGGTTTGGTCTTCCTATGTAGAGCTGGCCTTGAAGTTGCTATATAGCCCAGGCTGGTTTTGTAGCAATTTTTCTGCCTCGGCTCCCTGAGTCCAGGGATTACAGGTATGCACCACCACATCCAGCATTATACAGTTTTTTTTTCTTTTTTTTTTTGTTTTTTTCTTTTGCATTATACAGTTTTAAATAGCTCACCCCCAGCCCAACCCAGGCGCTGGGTCCTAGGTCCTTCACTGTTTTTCTTCCACTCCTCTTCCTGAGTTATGAAAACACCTCAAGCCTCAAGTCTCAGCTGTAGTCTTCTGAAACGAAACTGGAGAGAAACTGGCCTGAATAGCTGCTAGAATCACCCATCCCACAAAGTAGTGTTGATAATCTACTCAGGATTTCCTTGTTTTGGATTTTCAGGAGTGAGACTGACCCTTGTGAATTCTCTGTCCATTGGCATACTCAGGACCTATTGGTAATTTGTGTTTGGCATCTCTGTGCATTTGATTAAATAGTTTATTTTTTTATTTTTTTCCCAAGCTGTATGAAATCCAATGATTAAATAGTTTATGGGATAAGACCTATACATACTCAAGGAATACAACTGCTATGTGAATACCCATGAAAGTATAGTCACAATCATTTATGTCATCAGTCCTGAAAGTCTCCTCATGGTCCTTATAATCCCTCCCTTTCATTCTCTCATCCCACAACTGCTTTTTTAATACTAGTTTAGATTGCGAGTGTGTGTGTGTGTGTGTGTGTGTGTGTGTGTGTGTGTGTCTTATTGGAGATTGAACCTAGGGCCTTAGTAACAAACTACATCTCTAGCTCTTTTTTGTTTTTTATTTAGAGATAGGGTCTAAGTGTTGTTAAATTGCTCAGGTTGGGGGCTTGTGCTTGTGATCCTCTTGTCTAGCCTCTCATAGTGCTGGGATTACAGATTACAGGTATGTACCACCATATCCCACTTCATTTGTATTTTCTAAAATTTTGCATGAGCTGGATCATATGGGAAATGCTATTTTGCATGGGGTGTCTTCTTTTATTTGGTGTAATTATCTTGAGACTCACCCATGTTGTTGCTTATACCAATAATTTATTCCTTTTTATTGCAGAATAGCATGCCATTTTGGATATATCATAGTTTATCCATTCATCTGCTGATGAACATTTAGTTGTTTCCAATTTTGGCTATTAAAAATAAAGATACTCTGAATATTCATGTACAAGTCTTAGTATGGACAGGTATTAGTCAGCTCTTAGATACTGTTATGGTTTGAGAACTGGTGGTCAACTTAACGCCAGCTGGATTACATCAGCATGCACTGAGAGAAGATACTCCACCTGAGGAAAGTTGCCAGGATAAATAGGTGGAGAAGAAGAGAAGTTTTGAGAGGGTTGAGGCATTAAGGAGGCATTGTGGGTTCTCCTACAAGTTGCTGTCTGAGCTGTTTGTTCTGGAGAAGCTTTGGTCCTCACATCGAGCATTGCTTCTTGGTGGTGCCTTTCAGGATAGCCCTGGTCTTTGTTGTGAGTGTGACTTCTCGGCTCCAGCGTAGAACCCTCATCCCACTAGCACAGCTCCTTCATCCTGCTGGCATAGACTTTCTGGCTTCCACCACTGACACTTGGGTCTTCCCAGCACGGATCCGTAAAAGAGACTGGCATGAGTCCTTCTTGTGGGCTCTGGACTCCAGTTGGACTCGTGGGAGGCATTGTCCTGAGCTTTGGGTTTTTATCTGGACTCATATGGGACATTGCCGTGGGGTTTAGGCTCTAGACTAAATAATCTATGTCTTTGGTGTTGCTGATAGATTTCCTGCATCTCCTGTGTTAACTTCCAGTGACCGTTATAAAAATATTATAAACTCCATGTCCTAATCCTAGTTGTTCTCTGTGTAGAACCCCTGACTACAACAGATACTGTAACAAAACATTACATGGTACCCCATTATGTATCTAAAAAGAGGAAAGGCTTATTTCAACTCACAGTTCTGAAGGTTTCAGTCCATCCTCAGTTGTCCCCATTGCTTTGGGCCTGTGGTAGCACCATCCATCATGATAGGAGCCTGCAGCAGAGGCGGCCTCCTCAGTATCTCAGTATCTCTTCATCCAACCTGCACTCATGGGACCAGGCTTCCAATGAGGCTCTACCTTTTTAAGGTCTCATTTTCCCACAGGCTGGGGATAGTCTTTACTCTGTGAGCCTTTAGAGGGGCACTTTTGCAAACTATAGTGCAACATATGTTCCATTTTCTCTTGGGTACCTATCTAGGAGCAAATTGCTGGGTTACATGGTAGATACATGGTTTGCTCAACAAAAAAAGAGAAAGAAAGAAATGGAGAAAGAGAATGGTTGTCTAGCCCAAAGCCACTAAGATATTTTTCAAGATATTGTTCTTTGTTTTCTTCTACAATTTTTGTGTTTTAGGTTTTCATTTAAGTATATAATACCTTTTTATTTTTATTTTTTTACTTTGAAACATCTTTGAAATAGAATTCTAACATGTTTTTTGGTATCAGGACTTGAACTCAGTACCTTGTGCTTGCCAGGCAGGCACTTGTGCCAGTCCCAGGCCCTACTTTGAAACATTTTGAGACTTGCAAAAATAGTACATGGAGTTGCATATACCCACAACGGATGTCGCCTAATATCAACAAGTTACACAACCACAGTGTAATCATTTAAAACCAGGATGTGAACCAGGCATAGTAGTGAAATCTTGTAATCTCAGGATTCTGGGAAGCTGAGATAGGAAAATTCCAAGTGCGAGCCCAGGCCAGCAGTGATCTAGTCAGACCCTGTCTCAGAAAGAAAAGTAAAATGAGGCCAGGTGTGGTAGCACACACAGAATCTCAGCACACAGGAAACTGAGGCAGGAATATTTCTGTGAGTTCGAGGTCAGCCTGCACTACTTGCAAAACCCTGTCTCAGAAAGAAAGAAAGAAAGAAAGAAAGAAAGAAAGAAAGAAGAAAGGAAGGAAGGAAGGAAGGAAAAAAAGAAAGAAAGAAAGAAAGAAAGAAAGAAAGAAAGAAAGAAAGAAAGAAAGAAAGAAAGAAAAAGAAAGAAGACAGGAAAAGAAAGAAGAGCCGGGAGTTTAGCTCAATGGCATAAGTGCCTGCCTGGTGAGTGTGAGGTTGTAAGTTCAATCTCCAGGACCAAAGAAAAAAGGAAAAATAAAACTGAACTGAGGATGTAAATCAGTGTGAAGGCCCTAAATTCAATCTCCAGTACTACTAAAAACATATACACATACATACATGCATGTGTTATTATATTACCACATGCAGTACTGTTAGTGTAATAATTCACCCACCTTATTCAAATGTCACAATTTTTTCAACTAAAGTCCTTTTTCTTATCCAGGATCCCACATTACAGTTACTTAAATCTCCTCAGTCTCCTCCTTGGAGAACAGGTTTTTTTTGTTTTGTTTTGTTTTGTTTTTCTTGAAGAACACGGACAGGTTATCTTGTATAATATTCCTAATTGCATTTTGTCTAATGCTTGCTTTTCACTGTCGTTGTTGTGCTCGGGATCAAACCCAGGTCTTGCACGAGACAGGTAAGCACTCCACTGCTAAACTACATCCCCAGTGCTGTCAGCTGGTTTTTGTACATGTTTGTGTGTTAATGAGTATAGTTTGGGTAGTGTATACCTCAAAAAGCTAAGGATTTTGAATGTTTTGCCATACATAAGTGATAAGTATTTGAGGAGATATCTTTAGCCTAATTACATAATTTGCCCATGTATTAAAACATTACATGGTACCCTATTAGGTATTTTTTGTATCCTTATGCATCAATTAAAAATAAATTTAATTTTTTAAAATGTGTGCTGGATAGACATATTAGCACTAAGTTTTCTGAGAGCACAATTCCCTCTGTTTATGTCTGTGTTTCTCAGCTAAATCTACATAAATAGGTACTCTGTAAATCTACTGAACAATTAGATATGAACTTACTCATTTAAATACAAAAATAAACAAATTCCAGATACTTGTTTGCTGCTTTTTGTTCACCAATGATTCCCAAATATCTGGCTGACTTTGGCCCAGTGTAGAAAAATGTTCTGTTCACTTCCTCACCCTCCTTTCTCTATTATCCTGGAGATACTGGAAAGCTAAGAAAGCGCTCATGTACTAATGTGCACACACACAGGTGCACACGCACGCATACACATACATATGCACCCACTCCCCTACTTTTCAGATTCTTCTCTGTTACATGAAGGTACGCTTCTTGCCAAGTTGTCCTTTACTCTCCCTTCTTTTCAGCACCCCATTTCTTTTCCCAACTCTTATAAAGCCCTATTTTCTGGAAAGCCCTCTTTGATTTATTCAGGGAGCAGTTTTCCCTTTCCTGTTGAGCCTTAGCCACACCTGGGCCTCTAACTCTGTTGCAAAGGCAGGAAGAAAACAGCCAAGATACTGAACGGCTGGACCAGCTCAGAGTCCCAAGAGCAATGATGGATCCTCTAAAAGAGTCCCAATGTCCCTTTACCTCTCGATTCCCTCAGGACTGCCTTGGTTCTTACCTCAAAATGCTAATATTTACTTGTGGCAGTTCCAGACTTCTTACATGGCCTGGAAGCTGGGTCCCCAGAGATAAAGTTGGGGAGTACATTCTTAACCACTTATAATCCAGCCAGATGTGTTGATGCAGACCTGTAATCCCAGCACTCAGGAGGCTGACACAGGAGGATCATTGCAAGTTCAAGACCAGCCTGGGCTACAGAGGGAGCTCAAGGCCAATCTGAACTGCAAAGCAAGACTGTTTCAAAAAAGAAAAAAAAAAAATCACTTACAATCTAACTGGAAATATAAGACACAAAAAAGGTAAACAAAATTTTATTTTATTTATTTTTTGTCTTTTTTGAGATAGGGTCTCATTATATAGATCTGCACTTCCACAGAACCAGTTTGGAGGGTATGGGGGCACAGATGGCAGAAAACAGGTTGAAAGCCAGGCAAGATGGCACACACCTACAATTCCAGCACTTTGGGGGCTGGGCAGTAGGATTGCTGTGAGTTCTAGATCAGCCTTGGACTACCTAGTGAGACACTGTCTCAGGAAAAAAACAAAAAACAACAACCACAAAACAGACTAGAGATCAGCTAGAGTTATAATACTTAGTTCCCTTCAGGCTCACACCAGACTCAGGGCCTAGGTCATCATGTGCTCATTGTTCTTTCTCTCTGGGTCTTTCTATCTGTGGACTGCACCACGTAATTCTTCTTGACACTGAGTGTCCTGCAACAGAATAGGAGTAACATGTTTCCTATTCTTTTATGTAGCCCTCTTGTCCAACTTTGGACTGAAAATGGTCCAGGCAGGCCAATCCCCCTACCTTTATTCTCAAAAGGAAGTCATGGCTAAGGATGCCATGGATTTGAAGGTACTGAGGGGTGCAGAGCATCAGGGTATCAGGTTATAGGATACAGCAGGTGGAAGAAGTCCTGGCCGAGTTTATTTATGAACAAACAAGTAATATAGCCCACGCTGTTCAGTCTTTCCTCAGCAGAAGCTTCTCAACAAACACTTCATATATAGACCAGACCCATACCCCAACCTGGGGTACCCAGCATGTGCTTCAGATTTCTGTGCTGGGTGCTAAGACATCCCAAAGGGAAGAAAAACAGAGTTCAAGAGTCCTAGTCTGTGAGGAGAGAAGATGCATGGGTTTGATCCCCAGCACTGAGGGGTCTTAGTCATTTATACATGAGGAATGGGGAGCAGGGGAAGTGCAGTGCTGGGCTGGGGCATGTCTGGGATTGTCCCATAGCTTAGATAACAAAGAGGGACAATCGCAAGGGGGAACCTGGGGATTGAGGAGAGAACGGAGAGGTAGATATTAGAGGCTATCTAGTGTTGGGTTTTCTTTGTAACATGGCCCACCGTGGAGGAACGCAGAAGACATACTGAGACTCTGTGAGGAGCTGTCTCTTCCCCCTTCAATTTCCCAAAGGCTTTTCCATCTCATTCAGGTGCAACAGGCTGAAATCTAGGGGAAAGATACTAGCTGGAACCAGTGTGGGGCAAAAAAAAAAAAAAAAAAAAAAAAGGGAGTTGAGGGCAGGAACCAAGCTCCCCATCTGGGAATCAGAACTTGGAGCAGCAGGCCGCACAACACTGGTGGAAGGAAGCTGCTGCTCACCCTTTCTTCCCTCTCTGCATCCAGTCTCAGGTCAAACAAAAAAGCAGATACTGAGGTGGGGGTGAGGACGCAGAGGCTCTTTTTATTTTGTATTTGCCTAAAAGTTCAGGAAGTCCTTGCTGACATTCTTGCTTGGGGGCCCAGAATTTAAACTTAGTCACTGCCCAGAACCCTTGTTTTAGGAAAGAATGAGAGGGCTGTTGCATAACCCAGAGCGGGGCGGGTGTGGGTGGCTGAAGGAAACAGTCCCTTTTCCTCGCTGGCTGGAGACTGGGAGCGCTGGGGATGGGCGGGCACTGCCTGGGAAAGGGTGGGTCGGGACGGCTGAGGGAGATGGTGGAAAAAGGGCAGGCAAATGGGTGGAGGCTTGGACCAGTCCTTCCTCTGAGTCCCCTGGGCAAAGCACAGCCTGAGGAATCTAGAAACCCCACTGGGCGATTGAGAGGGAACAGTCTTGGGGAAAGGAGAACGGAGGGACAGGCTGACCCGAAGGACAGAGGTGAGGGTGCGGTCCGCTCTCCCGTCCTGCCCAAGAGCACCCAGCACAGGGAGGAATATCCGGCTCCTCTGACTCTGCCCACCCCACCCCTACAGTTTCAACTGGCCCGTTCCGGGCTGCCCTTGACCCCCGATATGGAGCCAGCTATAGCCTCCGTGCCTGCAGCCTCTCTGCCAACCCTTCCAGACTGACCTCCCACCACGCCTGGGTTTATGCAAGGTGTCTTCCTTGCACCCTGGCCTCATTTCACCCCTGGCTCCCCAGCCCCTTGCACCCCAGTCTGAAGGTACAGTGGGTCTCTACAGATCCACTTTAGGCCACTTTCTCCAGTCCCTTGCCCAGTTTTGCTCTTGCTCTCCTCTCCTGCCCGCTTTCCCCCATCTCCCTGGTCTCTACCCCTGTCCACATGCCTCGAGGAGGCCTGCATCCCTTCTCAGTTCACCGTGGGCCCCCAACTGCGCACTTCCCACCCCTCACTCTCCTAACTGGGTCGCAAGTCTACCCTTCCACTTGCTCGCGTCTTTCTCTCCCCCTGCCTCCCCCACCCTCTGGTCCCTCCAGCCAGCTGTACAGCTCCCAAATTCTGGGCGAGATTCCCAGGACAAAGCAAGAAAAATCAGAGCAATTTGGGAAATAAACAGAAACTGGAAAGGAGTGGGAAGAGGAAAGTGGGGAGGACCCAGGTGGTGGTGTGGGGGACTCTCTGGTCCCACCCAGTTTAGGGAATGCCTCAGCCTTCTCCCCCCTCCCCCTTCACCTGGCTCTTAAAGGGCCCAGCCCCTGACCCGCGGCTACTTAAGACAGAGGGGCGGCAGCAGGCAGCAGCTGCGCTAGGGTTGCTCTGCAAGGAGTGAACGGGGCAAAACTCCTGACTATGACCCACGACGGGCTGCTGCCGCCACTGCTGCTGGTAACTCTGCTGCTCGCTGCCTGTCCAGGAGGCGCCTTGGCACGGTGCCCAGGCTGTGGGCAGGGGGTGCAGGCGGGCTGTCAGGAGGGCTGCGTGGAGGAGGAGGATGGGGCACCGCCTCCAGCAGAGAGTTGTGCAGAAGCCAAGGGCTGTGAGAGGAGAGAAGGGCAGCAATGCGGGGTCTACACCCCGTTCTGCGCCCCAGGACTGCAATGCCGGCCGCCCGAAGGCCAGGAGGAGCCTTTGCGGGCGCTGCTAATGGGCCGAGGCCGCTGTCGCCCGGCCCGAGCGCCCACCGGTGAGTCCGCACCCCGCCCCCGCCCCCGGCCCGCCCCGCCCCTGTGAGCCCAGCAGCTGTCCCTGCTGGGTCCCTAAACCCGGAGGTGAGCAGCCCTGGGGAAGTGGGTAACTTCTGGGGAGCAGCGGCAAACACAGGACTAGGGAACAAGGCTAGGGTGTGGCTAGGGGATTTGGAGATGAAGCAAGAGATCTGGGGATCCTAACTTCGTTTTGGTTCCCTTTTTGTCTTCCTATGAGGGAAAAGGGCTGGAGGGGGTTGTAGGGGTTTACGAGTGTCCTGGCCTCTTAAGCCAAAGAGAGAGAACCGTTTTCACCTGGAGAAGGGAAGAGGATCCCAGACTCTCCAGTTCTGTCCATGCTGAGAAGTGTCTTCTTTTAATGCCACTGTAGAAAGCGCGGGAGCCTGTGATCAAAAGAGAAGATGCCGGAGGAGCCAGACTAGACTGAGATTAGGAGTGGGCTCCAGAAACCCGGGGGTGGTGTGGAAAAGAGGGAACAGGCCAAATCTGGTTTATGATTTAAAGAAGAATGGGAGGCTGAATCACAGAAATGAGTCAGCACGCTGAAGATGGGTGGCAACGAGAGATGGGAAGGGGCAGGAAATGCAAACCAACGCACGGCAGAGGCACCTGAGCTCCTGATTTCTGTCCTGAGAGGGATGAGAACAACCTTAGTCCCAAGAGCCTGAATCCATGTTTATCGGAATCCTTAGAATGGGTAATGAGTGAGCAGGAGAAGACAGTTTGGAGTGTGGTCATGATTGGATGCTAAATGCTGGGAATGAGGGGAAAGATGTGAGGTGAGGCGGGTCCTCTGAGGGAAAGATTTAGGGTTAGGACTGCAGAGGAACCTGCCCTTGGGTTTCCAGTAGAGGGCAAAGGATCCCAGCTTTCTGAGCATGAAGTGTGCGAAAGTCCCTTCAGGGGTTCTAATATCTAATTCTACAGTCTGAGCAAATCTGGGCATGATACATGCCTGTAATCCCAGCATTTAGGAGGCTGAGGCAGGGGATCACTCACACAAGTCTGAGACCAACCTTGGTTACATAGTGAGTTCAAGGCCAGCCTGAACTACATAGTAAGACCCTGTCTCAAAAAATATATATGGGTAGGCAAATTCCAGACAGTACATGCTCCTCTCCCTGCCTTATCCTAACCCCTATTTTCTTACCTCTTCCCAGTCCCTCCAATCCCACCCACCCAATTCTCTCCAGAACCAGGAGCAACCTGCACCATTGAGAACCTCTCATGCCCAGAACCTCTGCATCCTGCTTCAGCCTATCCTGGTTAAGGGCTGGTTAAGGGCTGAAACCAGATGCCCCTGCCTGAGACCTCTGATGTTGAACTGGTCTGAGCCACAAGGGACTAAAAGAGAGAGGTCCCCACTGCAGTGACCCAAAAGTAACTGTATCTCAGGCCTGGGAGGGGTGGGCTGAGTCACAGCAAGGTCATAGCTAGGACACACATTCCACTGGGGTCCCTGTTGACCTTCTCCTACATCCTTTTGTGGTCTGCCTCTGCCTCATCTCCCTGGCTTGGTGCACCCTCTTCTGGCCACTGGTGGGACAGCCAGTTCTTTCTACACTAAATCCAGAGCCTCCAAATAACCAGTTTGCAGTTTTTCTCTATCAAATTTTATTTTTCTTCTTTCTTTCTTTCTTTTTTCTCTTTCTTCCTTTTTCTTTCTTTTCTCTTCCTTTCTTTTCTTTCTTACCTCTTTACTTCCTTTCTTTCTTTTCCTTTTTTTTAAAGGCTTGAAAAGAATTTATTAAAGGCCAGATGTGGTGGCGCACACCTGTAATCCCAGTACTTGGGAAATTGAGGCAGGAGGATTGCTGCAAGTTTGAGGCCAGCCTGGCTACAAAATGAGTTCAAGGCCAGCTTTTAACCATATAGTGAAACCCTGCCTCAAAAAACACCCCTCAAAAAAGATTTATTAGAGGTAGATATCAGATATACTCAAGGGCAGAGTGGGGGTACTCAAAGAAATGAATCAATTTTTATTTTTCAAAATACTTCCCTTCATGCCAAGTGTGATGGTACACACCTTTAATCCCAGCACTCAGGAGGGTGAGGCAGGAGAATTGCTGTGAGTTCAAGGCCAGCCTGGGCTACATAGTGAGTTCAAGGACAGCCTGGACTACAGAACAAGACCTTGTCACAAAACAAAACACCAAAAAGCAAAACCCTAAAAGCAAAATACTCCCCCCTTATAAGAATTAAAATTACTCTGGGGAGTACTGTCAGGAAAAGTAATTTAACTATTTTTCAGATAAAGAAGTTTCAGCCAGGATAAGGTACCAGAGAAGTCAGGCTCTAAACCATCCATTTTTTCCTAATCCATATGAAGCCCTCGATTGTTCCAACTGCAGTGGGTTGGGGTAGGCAAGACTTTCCTCCATGTGGCACTGGTCTTTGGCACCTGGCTGATTTCTGAACTCTTCTCCCATCCCTCCTGTGGCCATAGAGGAGACTCTGAAGGAGAATAAACCCCACGGAAGTGCCACTCGCCCCCAAGATGTGAACCGCAGAGACCAACGCAAGAATCCAGGAACTTCTACCACTCCCTCCAAGCCGAATTCTGGGGCTGTCCAAGACACTGAAATGGTGCATTTGGGGCTGGAGGGAGAGAAGGTTGGGACACCCTCGGCCTTCCAGGGGCTTGGCGAGGTCTTCAGGGCCAGTCCTGGAACCCTGGCTGGTGGAGTTCTGAACTGCAACTCTTCCTCCTCCAGGGTCCCTGCCGCAAACACCTGGACTCGGTGCTGCAGCAACTCCAGACTGAGATCTTCCGAGGGTCTCAGACCCTGTATGTGCCTAATTGTGACCATAGAGGCTTCTACCGGAAGCGGCAGGTAAGATGACTCTTTTCCCTAATACAAGGGCCTGCCAGCCAGTGGAGAAAGGTGCTCACAGAGTCGCATAAAGACACTTGCCCTCCATTTCTGCATCTTCCTATGTTAGAACCCACACAAATATAAAGAATAACCACTCAAAAATTGTAGTAGAGGATTTAAAGTCCCTGAAGAATGGCCTTTCCTTGGCTCTCGAACCCAAAGCCTCAGAATCCCATCGAGGGTTTGTGAACACATGGATGGCACATGGCTGAGCCTCCCCTACCTGCAGTTTCTGACTTAATAGGTCTGGGTAAGCCTGAGGATTTGCATAAGGGGCTGGGGATTTAGCCAGCAGCATAAGCGCCTGCCTTGCAAGCACGCAGCCTTGAGTTCAATCCCTGGTACCAACTAAAAAAAAAAAAGATGAGTAATACAGTCTCTAGTGTGAGCTGGTGCTGTTGATTTGAGAACTACACTGAAAACTACTACTCTGAGCAGGTGAAGAGGGAGATGCAAGATGCTATTCTAAGGGAACTTTCAGGCCTCAGAGTCCTCTTCCATCTTCTCTGCTGGAAGCCTGGGCCTCACTCCTGATCTATGTGCTCTCCCACCAGTGTCGATCTTCACAGAGGCAGCGCCGGGGTCCCTGCTGGTGTGTGGATCGAATGGGGCAGCCCCTGCCAGGATCTGCAGAAGGTGACAGAAGCTCACACTGCCCGGCAGGAAGCAGTGGCTGACAGGGAGTGGGGCTGTGGAACCACCAATAGGAGCATGAGGCTTTGCCCTAGTGTTACTGGTTGGGTGATAAATAACTTGGGGGCTCTGGGCCTCATGATTACCTTCAGGCTCTGTCCTATTGTCCCCCTCATTCCTGGCCCCTTACACATCTAGTTGAAAAAATTGCTGGTGTCAGCTTGAGGTGTTAATAAAGCTGTGTGGGGGTCTCTGGCCTATGTCTCTCTGTCTACCTCTCACAGTTCTGGAGCCTGGGCAGTTTCTCTGCCCCCATGGCAGTATATGCAGAGAGAATTGTCTCTCCCTAGACAGTTACCTTCAGGCCCTCCCACTGCACTCTGAATACAGAACACAGTGGAGACCCAGACGGAGACACAGGCACTGTACCCTCAGATGTCACCCAGCCATACACTGGGTGGGGGAAGACAGAGACCATGGCCTCCCTCAGAGGTTGTGACCTTCTTTACCACATTGGTCTTTGGACATAAGGGAGAAGGAGGATTAATAGTTAAGCCCCAGCAGAAACTCAGCAAAGAGGAACTCTCAAAACACTTGTGTCTGTTACTTCCTGTGGAAAAGGAAGGAGAGTGTCATTTACTAAGCTCATCCAATGGGCCAGGCCCCAGACAGTGTGATTTACCCAGACTACCATATTTTGTGCTGATAAGAACTTGGTGAAAGGGAAGATTTTGCCCACACTTTTTAGAGGAAGCTTAAGTTTGGGTCCCTTGCCTGAAATCATGAGGTTTGAGCCTAGTTCTTCCATATGTAACAACATCCAGCTCTCCTCCCATGGTTTTTATTTGGCCTCCTTTCCACCTCATACTAACCCAGGCAGCTGCAGGGTAAGGCAGATGTTCATGGGCCCTGAAGATACTCAAGTTATGAGTGCCACACCCATCAGAATATTATTTCTCGTGTATCACACACCCCGTCCCCATGGTTGTATCACATACTCCATCTCAGGCAGCTGAACACAATGACACCCTCATCCCTGGCCCTTAGGGTGCAGGAGAGGGGCTGGAGGGTGAGCCCCAGAGAGGCAATCTCCCTCCTAGCCCCAGAGTGTTGAGGGGATGCAGCCATCCCTGTGGTAGCCAGCAGAGCAGAGCTTGAATCTGACAAGCGCCACAGTTAGATAACCTGTCCTCCTGAAAGGACTTTAGTCTTTGGAGCTGTTAGCTGAGCGGAGTGGAGCAAGAGCTCGACAGGCAGGTTGGCTGTGAAACAAAGGGAGCCAGCTGCCCACTGCCATCCCAGACCCACCATGGAGCCTGGTGGGGTCCATTTGCATGCAGAAAGAAGGGCTAAGAGGGGTGCAGCAGCAGGAGCAGAGGCAGCGACACTTTGAAGAAGTTGGGAAGGCATGAAGTTCAGCCCGGGGCAGGACAGGGATGCACTATTGAACGGATCCTACTACTGACTCCAGTCCTTTCTGCTAGAGTGGGAAGTGGTAGAGTGTGCTCACCTGGGTTCATCCCCTGACACCAATTTAAAAAAATATTCCTGCCACCCAGGGAGGCCACAGAAGGCAGATGCTGGCCTCTGCCTCATACTGCCCAGCCAGAAGGAGGAAAAAGGAATATTCAGAAGGCTGGCCTTGCTTTATCTTTCTGACTCCTTAACTGTGGGTGGTAAATAGAGTAACTTCCTGTTTCCTGGGTACCCTGTTTCCAGTAATATCATCAGGTTCCCTCTTCTAATGGCCTCTTCACACCCTGCAAAAATAACTTCCCTTTCTGGTAGTTCTAGCCATGATACTAGATATTGACCAGTTGGGGAGTTGAGGGGGAGGGAGGCAGCTGAGGACTCAGAAAGCATTTCTTGGATAGAGAATGCCTCTGGGCTTGCAGAACCCTAACTCCAACCCCTTGAGCTTGTCCTTTGACCTCCTCCACCTAGGATACACAGAGCTGCACAGAGCCCCAGACTTGGCGCAATGGATGCAATGGAGGTGAGGGACCTCAGAGGTCAGAGGTTGGGGATTTAGCTCAGTGGCTCAAGTGCTTGCCTGGTAAGAGCAAGGTCATAAATTCTATCCTAAGTACAAAAAAAAAAAGGATTTTCTCAGAAGTCAGAGGTCAAGGTGTATAGGTCATGGGGTGATAGGTGTCCAGGTTAAAGACTGACTGACTTGCTGATAAGATGATGTGTTGTGTTCAAAGCTGAGTTTAGAGTTAAGGGCAAATGCTCAGATGTTTGAGACATAGTCCTCAGGGCAAGGACCAAAAGTCAAACAGTGTAATTTCCCTAGTAATGTAACCAGAGGTTGCTTCTTTTGTGTGTGTGGGTGGGTGGAATGTGTGCACGCGCATGTACATGTGGTTTATTTGTACGTGTGGTTTATTTGAGACAGAGTCTTGCTATGTAGCTCAAGCTAACCTTAAACTCACCATCTTCCTATCTCAACCTTCCAAGTGCTGGGATTACAGGTGTGCACCAGAGTGCCCAGGCAGGAACCATGGCCTGTCATTTTTCATCTGTAGCATTTAACTCTAGATCTAGCATAGAGAGAAGGTTAGTATAAATGTTTGTCAAGTGAAAGGATAGCTGGGTGGATAGAAAGACACTTTGTCCTTAGGCTGTGAAGAGGCAATTGCTGGAGCGAGCACAGGGGCAGTTGATGGAGCTGCTGGATCAAACCAGGAGGGAAGCCATACAGTCCTACCCGACACAAGACAGACCCGTGTCCTCCACTCCCTCTGACTCAAAGAGCAAGTGAGTCTGAGGGCCTAGCAGGCTGGAAAGGATGCAGGGTCCTCCTCCACTGTAAGGTTATGAGCCATAAACATGCACCCTTCGGCAGCCTTGGCACAACTGTGACTTCGGCCTCCTCTCTACTTCTCTTGTGGCCCTGTCTTCCTCACACTGGTCTCCACCTTCCGGGTCTTCCTTGTCCTGCCTTGGCCCTGACCTTCCCCTACTACCACCCTTGGCTCAGAAGTACTGACCAATCACATGGGCCTGTCCTCCGCCCATTGTCTTCTTCCTTTGGGGCCTGACCTTGAATACTGTCCCCCTTGGGAAACAGAAAGTTTTCATCATCTGAAAATCCCTGATTGAGTAAGTCAAGGGTGAAGATGGGATGGAAGGAAAAGAAAGGACTTCAGGCAGTGGCCTAGGACACCTTATTTCTCATGCCTAGGTTCTAGATGACTTGTGGGAGAGGTTTGGAGAGGGTCTCTGAGGCTGTTTCCCCCATTTACTTAAGCACCAGGATCAGAAGTCTCAGTCTCGACCCAGCCTGTAGCTGGAAGTTTCTAGATCAGTATGCCCTATGCCTTCATGTGTGCAGTTGCCTTAATTAGTGCACTCAACCTTGAGAATTGTACCACACTGACGTCTGCGACCCATCCCTCCAGTGAGCTGATGGAGGTGCAGCATTTCTGTACCATCTACCACATCTTCGCTGCTGGCCTGTGTGTCTTCATCATCAGCACCGTGGCCACTGACTTCATTGATGAGGGCAGGTAGGCACCGTTCCACCCCTAACAGGGACATAGATCAATCAGACCACTTGTTCCCTGTATCTCACCTTCCTCTAGAGCCAAGAAGGCATATGTCCCCCTTTGATTATCAGACACACAACCAACATGGCCTTCAACAACTTCCCATCTAAAATACTCTTGGACCCCTTCCCTCCCTGGCTTTGGATGGCCATTGGTCTATGCCTAGAGGGTCAATTATTTGGAGGATACCATATGCCTCTCAAATTCTTCTCAGTGACAATCTTGCCTTGAGACAGATATAGGCACACACACAGGCACTCCCCCCACAACACACACCTCCACACACATAGTTCTTTCCAAGTTAGCAATATTCACACAAGTAACCTCCATTGAGTACCTACTGAGTACCAGCCCTGGAGGCCAGAGATGTAAAGGGGTAACCCCTGCCCCCAACTATGAGCCAGCTCCAAAATTGTGAAGAAAACAGATGTGCACACAAGTGCCTTGGGTGGGTTGTTCTTCCCACAGAACACACCTCCCTGCATTCTGAGGATGAGCCTCAGAGGGCTGTTGACCCCTGAGGGTCTGTAGTTTTGCATCTATTCTTGGGATCAGGAAGCAGTAAAAGCAAGAGAACCAAAACCTCTAGGTTCACCAGTACTGTTTCTTTTTGCTAAACTTTTTGTTGATTATGAATTTTACAAAGATCAAACCTTAGTTAAAACTTCACATAGGGGTGTAGTTCAGTGGTAGAGCACTTGCCTAACACAAGCAAAGCCCTGTCCTGGGAGACGGGGGCTCAATTACACTTTTTATTGTAAAGTGACAGTGCTTCACTACCTCAGTCTGCAACTGCTCCTCAGAAGTAACCATTTTTAACAGTTGTGAGTTTTTCTCCAGAGCTTTTGTTTGTTTGTTTTGCTTTCAGACTCTATGTATATAGGATATAGGAACCAAAGAAATATATGTTGTAAGGGTTTTCATAAATAAAGTATATACTTATTACTTTGCAATTTGTTTTTATACCCCTAATTTAGAGATATTTCCTTGTCAATCCATTGTTCTTGATGACTTGAGAGCATGGTAGTACCAGACTGTATTCACTTTAGTCCTTTATTAATGTATATTTAGGTTGCTTCCAGTTTTTCACTTTTACAAAGTATACATTTTGCGGGGAGGGCAGGATGATTTCTCTTGGACAGGGTCTCACTATGTAGTTCATTTTGCTCTTGAATTTGCTATGTATCCCAGGCTGGCCTCAAAGTTGTGATGATCCTCCTGCTTCAGCTTCCTGATTGGTGGGATTACAGGCATGCATCACCCCACCCCAACAAAGCATATACTCTTAACCTAGGGACAATCTATGCTCTGTTAGCTTGAGTCTACAATACAGACACTCCAGAGGAACAAAACTAGTAATAAATTGAAGTTAAATTCTAAGTACCTCATACCCTAATGCCTGTGTTATACAGAGTATTACGCTCTTTGGGAGCACCATAGAATTCACAGAGGTCTCAAACAGTCATTTAGAGTCTTCTCTGGCAATGTCCTTTGCCGAGACTCCATTGTCACAGAGGCTCCACCCTCAGCACCTTAGCTGATACACCACACGGAATTTCCACACACCTAACTTATCTTCCAAGAGCAGTGACTGAAGAGGGACAGGACAAGGATAGGCTACACTCTTGTCTACTCTCTCTACCTCCCTTACCCCAAGGCTGGTGCTAGAGTTTGATGTACTGTGCCTGGTAATGTGGATCCCCATGTTCTTGTCCCTTCTGTTGGTGCCCTACCAGGCCCTGTGGCTATGGGCAAGGCCCAAGACTAGGGGCTCCTGGATGCGGGGGTGAGCCTGGGCTGTGTGCTGCTGGCTGCCCTGCTTCAATGCTCTGCATCCTGCTGATCCACGTGGTCCTGAAGCAGGAGCTGCTGCCAGCTTCCCGCTGCGTGCTGGTCTTTTTTTTTTTTTTTTTTTTCAATTTTATTTTGAAAGTGGTAAAATACAACAGAATAAAGCCAACTAAGATCATACAGTGAAATTGGTACAGAACTTCACAGCAGGTTACAAGGATAACAGTAATAGGTATTGCAGTATATTTCATTGTCTTTATAATAGTTGTTCTTTCAATCACGTATATCAAACTGAGATGAAATACAGAACATTATAGAACTTATCAAAACAGAATATTGAATAGAGCAGTACCATTAATCAGAATAGAGCAAAACAGTAATAAAAATATTTGCCTTCAAAGAGATAGTAGGAGGAAGTCCCCTTTATTTGTTATAGTCAACCTCCCAGGAGAGCTCAGATTTCTGGTTCTCATTTGCTAATGGGGGCGGGGGCAGGTGAAGCTGGGTAGGGGAAGTGGGATGTTTGACCCTAGGCCGTGTACCAGTAGGTTCACCATTGCTTAGGAGGGAGGCAGGCTGGTTGTTTGGTTTCACAGCGTCCTAAGTTCCAACATGGCGCGGATCTCAGGAGCTGCTGCTGGTTCTCCCCCTGGAAGGGCTGCAGTCTGCCACACCACCACTGCTTACCAGGGAGGGGAGGTACTTGCTTGGCTTCCTGGTGCCCTAAGTTCCAACATGGTGTAGATCTCAGGAGCTGCTGCTGGTTCTCCCCCTGGATGCGTGCTGGTCTTTGAACAGATGGGAGGAGCCATGCTATGGGTCTAGGGGATGGCGAGCTGCACTATGAGGTGGGGCCCATGTGAAGAGGATGGAGGACACAGTACTGGCAGTGATGGGGTTGACCATGAGGATTTGAGAGAACAGAAGGGGCTCCAAGGAAAGTAAATGAAAAGGGGCTGCTAAACAAATAGAATCTGGTGGGAGGAAGTCTCCACCCTGGCCTCTCCTGTCCTCTTCTACCCTTTGTCCCAGCAGCACCTGTCTGCATTAGATTATAATGCCACCTGACTAAACCCGGGAGGACAGGTTCTGACCAGAGAGATCTTAAATCTGTTTGTCTTTGTGATAAACAAGAACACAGAGAGGTTAAGTGATTTTCTTGGCCTGCCTTCTACTCTATCACCTCAGGTCAGGCTCCTGATGAAAAGCTACTCCTTCCTGAGAGAGACCATGCCTGGGACCCTTCGTGTCAGAGGAGGTGAGACCTTCAGCTAGCCCTGTCATGAACTCAGTCCTCTTAGCCAGTTGAATAAAACCAGCAACTGCAATGTTCTCATAAAAGCTCTGCCTTCCCAGGCTATCTTACCCAGCAACCCCAGCTTTGGCTCTCAGGTGGATGGGCTCTGTGGATTTAGTCATTAGGGTTCCTAAGCCCCACTTCTGAGAGATGTGCTCTGTTACCCAGGACTTCCTGGAGAAACACAGGATTCACAACACATATGAGGAAGTCAGGAAAGAAGGGCAAAAGAATAGGTGATGGCACTGTAGCTGCTAAGTGAAGCTCTGACCACAGTAGGCTCTGTATTAAAAAATAGGGTGCCTGGACTAGAAGCAAAAGAAGTGTTGTAAGCTGTGGTGTGGTGGCATATGCCTGTAATCCCATCACTCTGGAAGCTGAGGAGGAGGATCACTGGTTCAAATCTTGCCTGATCAATTTAGCCAAACTCTGTCTCAAAAGAAAGAAAGAAAGATAGAAAGACCTGGAAATATAACTATAAAGGCCCTAAATTAATCCCTAGTACGTGTGGGGTGGGAAGAGACCCCTATATCTAGCCCCTTGCCCATCTACCTGTCTACTCCTTAATCCCCCTCCCTTCAGCTGCCAGCTTACCACTCCCCCTTCCTGTTCTCACCCACTCCTTCTGACCCACCCTTCTCATTCCTCTCCAGGAGAGGGGGTCTGGGCCCCTAGTTTGTCCAGTTACCTCTATTTCCTCTTTGCCCCACACTCATCTATCGGGAGACTTACCCCAGGTAAGACCTTGCACTCCTCCCCAAATTCCTAGGCCCACCAGGAACTTTGCTCTTCTATTCTCCTCTCCACAAGGTCCTTTCTTCTCTAGGCCCTGGCCACTTGCTCAGGAAGTACCTCACAATAAAGATGGGAAGGCAGTTGGGCATGGTGGTGCATGCCTATAATCCCAGCATTTGGGAAGCTTTGACAGGAGGATTGCTGTGACATGGAGCCCAGCCTGGACTACAAAGTTGAATTCAAGGCAGCCTGAATTTCATAGTGAGACCCTGTCTCAAAAGGACAAAAAAAAAAGGGGGGGTGGAGTGGGAGGTAGATGCCCATCCCTCTCATTCAGCCCGTGATGTCACTAGAATGATCAACTGTCCTGGTTTGTCTGGTTCTGTTCTGATTTTAGTGCTGAAAATCCTTCATATCTCAGGAATCCCTGATCACTAGTCATCTTAGTTGACACCCATGCTAAAAATTCAGTTGCTATCTTTGTTATAGAAAGTGTTCTAGACCCATATCTCCCCAGAAAGTCTACCCAGGCCTCAACAATGGATGACATGCAGAAAGAGTCTCAGACCTGAGCAGAGAGTGACAGAAAAGACCCAGAATCATGTTAGGTGCTGCAGGACTTCCTTATTGCTCCAGCATCAGGTGGAATTATGTGGCCAAGAATTTTTCCCAGGTCAGAAGATGGGCTAGAAGGTGGCCAGCTGCGACCCACAGTGGCTGAGATTACTCCCAGGAGTGTGAAAGGGGACACCTGGAAGAGAAAGAGGCTGGTTCTAAGGGAGGACAGGGCAGAGGCTGGGCCGCAGTCCCATTTAGACTGAGGAACGAGTGTCCCCTCAAAGCTGTGCACCCTGGCTCCCTCTGCAGGCCCTGTGCTGTGTGCTTTATGCCTGCTTCATTCTGGGTCACCTCTGTGTTCCTGTCTTTGCCAACATGAGCAGGGAGCCCTTCAGCCCCCGTGCCCTGGTGCTTTTTGTTCTGCACGGCACGTTGCCAGGTAAGCCCTTTGAGGAAGACAGGAGGCTGGCCCTGGGAAGGCTTGGCAGGCAAGGCCTCGCTCTGCACCTGCTTGTTGGGAGCCGCCGACACCGGTCGCCTTACTTGGCGGACGTAGGGCCTGTGGGTGGGAGCGGAGCCTGAGCTAGATTGCCCCTCCCATCGAGTGAGTCAAGTTGGCGCCTGCTTCCTGCCCCCTGATTGCGCTGGCGACTTAAACAACCCGCTCTGTAAGATAGTCTGCCTAGCAACAACTGATGTTAGCCAATCAGCCCGCATCGCGCGCTTTGAACTGATTGGCCACTGTCACCCTATAAAAGTGAATGCCTCTCCCGCCATGAGACAGGAAGCACAAAGAGAGATAGAGAAAGTCCACCGGCGAGAAAGGGCTGGTGGCAGAGAGGAGGCCTCGCGGGGCCCACGCGGAGACAAATAAAGGCAAGGTTGCACACCGCCAGACTTTGTCGTGTGTCTTTCCTGCCGGCCGGGAGCGACCCCGACATTTGGTGGCCCGTACGGGGACTGATCAACCCCGAGACACGGCGGTGGTGTGCAACGCTCCAGCGTGGTGCTGCCGGACAGGTGAGTTGGGGATAAGCCTGGGCTCTGGGTGGCGCGCACCTACAGGGCTTTTAGACTCCCCTCAGGCTCACGCGTAGGTGACGGGTTCTCTAAGTCACACGCGGTGAGTTACAGCCCTTAGAGGTTGAGGATGGGTAATTTACCGAGCGCAGAGGCGCGGCCCTTGGTAAAGGCCCTTAGGAAGCTTTTAAAAGCTAGAGACCTCAGGGTAGGTCAAAAAACACTGAAACTATTCATAGCAGAGGTAGATAGGGTGGCTCCCTGGTTTTTACCCACGGGGCATTTAAACCTGCCGTCATGGGAGAAGTTAGGCGGGGACCTCGCTTCGGCGGAATTGGAAGGGGATATTTCGCCGGCTATTCGCCCCCTGTGGGAAATGATACATGCGTGCCTTGACTCCTATGCCGAGTTGCGCCGCGAATTGTGTGCGTGCGCCGCTCGAAAAAAGCAGAGAGAGGAAAAAGGGCCCCCGAGCGCTCTCTGGCGGGGAGGAGATAGAGAGCCATCCGCTCCGCCCTGGAGCTCTTCTCCAGAAGCGGCTCCCCGCCAAGAGGCCGCTACAGGGAACCCTCCCTTCTCTCAGCCGGCACAGGAAGTGACGCCCCGTTCCACTCTGTCGTGACCGCCGTCCTATGACGTTGCGCCGCGGGGCGGACGGTATTTTCATGGGCGGCTACTCTGCCGAGCAGGCTGAGAAAAACGCCGGTTGAGGAAACGGGGGCTGGGGATTTAGCTTAGCGGCATAAGCACCTGCCTTGTAAGCAGGCAATCGCGAGTTCGATCCCTGGCACCGATAAAAAAAAAAAAAAAAAAAAAAACGAAAAAGACCAAAAATAAAAAAAAATAAAAAATAAAAAATAAAAAACAAAAAGGGGGAGTAAGCCAAGGCCTGCCTCCAAAGGCGCGGTTATCTATGGCATGACAATGGATGGGCCCGGATCCGGTGGTTAGCTGGAACCGAGGCGCGGTTTGTGTTTTCCTGCAGGAATCGGGACGAGAACCACTGTGGGTCCCAGAGAGGTTGCGACAAGTCCCTCGACTAAAGATCAGGCCTGTTCCACCAGAGGCCAACCGCAGACCCAACAACAAGATGAGCCCTAAAAAAACTGCAGGACAATCCCTTTTTGGGGAGCCTGGAATGGCTTGCTCCCCTATGTTTTACCATTGTTAGGTCCCCTGTGCTCCTTGCTTCTGCTCTTACTTGTAGGACCATTCTTGCTCCGATGGGTTACATCATTTATTAATGGGCGCCTTGCGGCGGCCCGGCGTCAAGTACGCCTGGTTGCCCATGCGGCCCTGGCAGCAGCCCGTGATGGGCACAATGACCCCCAGGCTTACGCATGGCTCGCTCGACTGGCCTACGACTGGGTCTAGGTGTGGCGGGTCTTCCGCATTCCTTCCCTAATGACACCACACAGCAGGGTAGGTGAGTCAATGACGGGTAAGAGCGTGCCTCCCCAGCATGACTCGACCTAAGCCAGGCCCTACCCCATGGCGCACGAAAGCCGCTGGATTACTAGAATCTGCCCAGATCTAGATGCCTCTCCGAGGGGATCACACGGAGGGGCATGAGTGCATGCCTATGTGCATCCAGGTTCCGTCCAGTTCACTCCTGGCCCTGGAAAAAGGACGAGGGTCTCAAGGCCTTGGCAGACCCGGGGGCGGCCGACCAGGGTCCAAGCCAAGGGCCTACGGTGGGCCTCAACACAGGGCATAAGCCTCTGCACTCCATCCAGGGCGGGCTGCGATGCATACATTCATTCAAAGTAAATAAAATAGGGGGAGATGTTGGGAGCCGCCGACACCGGTCGCCTTACTTGGCGGACGTAGGGCCTGTGGGTGGGAGCGGAGCCTGAGCTAGATTGCCCCTCCCATCGAGTGAGTCAAGTTGGCGCCTGCTTCCTGCCCCCTGATTGCGCTGGCGACTTAAACAACCCGCTCTGTAAGATAGTCTGCCTAGCAACAACTGATGTTAGCCAATCAGCCCGCATCGCGCGCTTTGAACTGATTGGCCACTGTCACCCTATAAAAGTGAATGCCTCTCCCGCCACGAGACAGGAAGCACAAAGAGAGATAGAGAAAGTCCACCGGCGAGAAAGGGCTGGTGGCAGAGAGGAGGCCTCGCGGGGCCCACGCGGAGACAAATAAAGGCAAGGTTGCACACCGCCAGACTTTGTCGTGTGTCTTTCCTGCCGGCCGGGAGCGACCCCGACACCTGCTGTCAGTTTCAGGGCCTTCTCCTGAATTTCCTCTCCCATCTGTCCCATCCTGTGTGCTCACTGCTGCCCTCTCGGCTCAGCCTCTCTTCCACCTGCTCCTGACGCTGCCTCCCAGGCGCACTTCCCTAATGGTACTATCAGCTAATCATTCCCTGTACTGTTCCAGACACCAATGATTCTCCACTGCTGGCAATGTCCAGATAAAACTTAAACACTTGTGTGGCACTGAAGGCCCCAGGCCATCTCATCCTGCCATAAGCCCAGCTGTCCCCTGAAAGACACGTGGTTCCACCTCTGGACCTTTGTGCATAGGGGCCCCTCAGCTTGGAATGCTTTTTCCGATTTTCTTAGCAGTTGATGGTTGAATTAGCTCCCCTCTGGGAATCCTTTCTCCTCTTCTTCTTTCTCCCCTCCTCCTTCTTTTTTTTTCTTTTTTATTTTTTCTTTTTTTTTTTTTTTTTTTTTGTCTTTTTCTTTTTTTTACTGGTACCGGGGATTGAACTCATGGCCGCCTGCTTGCAAAGCAGGTGCTTATGCTGCTGAGCTAAATCCCCAGCCCCCCTCCCCTTCTTCTAATTCTTGTTGTTATCATCCTTCATCTTCTCCTTCCCTTCCTTCTCTTCATCAAGTGGTCTTCTTCAAAATTTGTTGCTCCATTCAAGCTGGACTTGAAGTCCTTAACTTAAGTGGCCTCACTCCCTGAGTAGAACACCACCTGGCCTGGCTAAGTCTTCCTTGTTTAATTATAGTGACCCAAGGGACTTCCGGGAGAACATGGCGGACAGATAACAGCAGCTATGGAGGTTCTCTGAAAGACCTGGCTCAGAAGTCAGGAATGGTGCGGAGTAAGGAGACATAAGCCGGTAGAGATATGCTCTGCTGACCCAGGAACGAACTGGGCTGAGAGAAACCAACTTGGAATGCAGTCCTGGTGCTAGAACAGGAACAGAAAAGCCTCAGTGTGGAGGCTGGAGCCCGCGCCATTGGAAGCCGCGATTTGGGTTTCCCGCCGCGCGGCAGCTGCCTTTACATTGGCTCAGCAAGGAGAGAGACGCGCAGAAGCTCTGAGAACGGGAATCTGCAAACGGAGTCGAAAACAGGACGGGCAGGGAGGTGTGCACTGACTTGTGGTGAGGTGAGTGAGAGAAACTGACACTCTATCACAGTTTGACTCCAGCAGAGGACATTCTGGGACTGGACAGACTTGTGGGAGCAGGGCGCGGTGGCGACTTCAGCCACACACCCCCCCCTCTCAGGCGGGATTGGTGAGAAGTGCCTAGCCTACGTGACGCTGCTGGCGGACCCAGTAGGCTGGCCCAACCCAGATCCCAGAGCCTGACGGTGGCCTTGAGGGGCGGCCCCGCGTAGGCTGCCTGGTCTGGAACTTCCTGGTGCGCTGCGGTGGGCGGGAACACCTAACCGGCGCAATTCAATCAGACTGTGGCTGACAGGGAAGGAAGCTGGGCCTCCTATATACGCTTGCATATATAAGGAACAAAGAATATGGGGAGAGGCAGCAACAAGAAAGGCTCCTTGGCCCCCAATCCTGAGAAACAGGTAATAGCGGACACCGCACCAATAGACATAAAGCGCCATCTAGAGAGCCTCATAGATCAGTTCAGGAATGAAGTTATCAATGACCTGAAGCTAGAAGTAAGCAGAATAGTTAGAGAAATGCTAAGCACCACCCAAGAAAAAACAGATGGTGGAATGGAAGAACAGAAAAAGAGGGGAGAATTGTTTGATGGAGAAAATAGAGAAAGCATAGAATACGTGAAGCAGGTTCAAAGGGACTACCAGGAAACTAAAAAGTCTATCGAAAACTGGCATAACAGCTTGAAAGAAACTAAAGACAGACTATCTGAACTGGAGGGCAGATTTGTATTATGGGAGAATGAAATGAAAAACTTCTTAAAAATAACAAAGAAACAAACAGCAATAATACAAAGACAAGAAGATGATAAGAGGATCCATAACTTAAGAATTAAGAACATAAAAGAAGAAGTAGGGACACAATCAAATGAACCACAAAAGCTACTCACAGAAATAATGCAGGAGAATTTTCCTAATTTAGCAAAAGGTAAAGATACTCAGATGTATGAGGCATACAGGACCCCAGCCACCTACAACCCAAACAGAGCAACACCCAGGCATATAATAATAAAAATTCCAGAAATTCAATACAAGAACAGAATATTAAAAGCTGTCAGAGACAAGAAACAGACCACTTACAAGAGAACACCCATCAGAATTACATCAGATTTCTCTGCACAAACCATCAAATCACGAAGAGCGTGGGGGGAAATAATTCAGGCTTTGAAAGATAATAATCTCCAGCCAAGATTGAGATATCCTGCACAACTGTCCCTGGAAATTGATGGAAAAACAAGGTGCTTCTAGGATAAAGAGGAACTGGGGGAATTTGCAACCACCAATTCAACTCTACAGAGAGTATTGCAGGATATTCTAAAAAAAGAAAAATACAAAGAATCCAGAAATAGTGGCGGGGAGGCCACAACGAATGGAGCAGAGAACAAAATGAAGAAGACAAACTGACAGCTACTGACAGAAAAAGAGCTCAACAGAAATGAGGCAGAGAAGATTGGATGATAGGAACAGCTATTTTGGAGAAAATGATGTCTTAATAGGTAATACTGATTTAGTATCATCTTGTTTTGAAGTCTCATCAAGCTTTTGTTCTTCTGTCTCCAATGGTCTAAACAGGTTGTATCTGATTGAATTTTATTATGTACGATAGTATAAGCAAAAACTTTTAAAGACAAGGAGATTATACAGAAACCATTATTCATTTTCTGTTAGTCGATTCTAAATACCCTGTAATGCTGTCATTCTCTTAAATGGTTTTACATTGTTTTGATATATTTAATGCTACAGTATACGAAGTTGTACTCAAGGATTTCAAGGAAAGAGACAATATGGTAACTACTTTTATGTCAGGATTATCTTGTGGTGAAACACTATTCTGCTTAACTGGTTATGCTTTGATCTACGCTGTTTGGCTGTTATGCCCTCTTTTATCTCAATCTCCACTCCATTATTTACTTTTTTATTTTTATCCTTTTAATTAAGGGAAAAAATAAAAATAGCAGGATATATTATAGTAACCCACTTTGACTTTCCATTATCTTGATTTAAAGCCCTGTACTACTCTCACCATCTTGTTTTTGACTGATGTTCCCCTATTCTGTTTTGCTGGATAGTACCAGGTTCGAAAGTTTAGGCAACAGCTGTGAAGATAGTGAGATTCATTATGACGCCCATTCTCGTTGACTTTTATCTACTTTTGGAGACCTGCAATGTCTCCAACGTTTTGATTTTGTCGGTTTTGTTCTTTACTGTTTTGATCAATTTTATTATAACTGATGATATAGGCAGTTCTATTAGAGATAGCAGGAGGCATTATGGTAACCATTATTGATCACCTTGTATTATGTTTTTACATTATCTATTATGTCCACCCTTTTGATTTGACTGACTCTGTTCTGTTATGTCACATTTGGTTTTACTCTCTTCCAAAAAAGTAATAAGAATCGTGGGAGCAATAAAACCCAAAATGTGTAATAGTCATTGTACAAAAGAAAGTGTTCTAAATGATATAACTGCATGTATATTTAAGTGTATAAGATAGAAAATGATATCACTGAGTTTTATTGGATCATTGAACAGAACTGTTTGCAGTATCATTGTTGGAATGTCCACTTTACAAGCTTTAATTTTGTGACTTGAACAATTATTTCTAAGATGACAATATGTAATCCATTAACTAGTGATTTCCTAGTGTTTATTTTTTCCTGTAAATCTGTATAACTTGTACCCTTTCTCTGTTTTTTTTTTCTCCTTAAATAAAAATTTAAAAAAAATTATAGTGACCTGGGGCTGGAGTTTAGCTCAGCAGCATAAGCACCTGCCTTGTAAGCAGGCAGTCGTGAGTTTGATCCCTGGTACCAATAAAAACGAAAAAGACCAAAAAAAAAAGAAGAAGAATTATAGTGACCCACCCATTCCTCTGCACTGCCAAGCATATCAGTGGCTGCCATGTTTCATTCCCATTGCACTGACCTTGGTGGACAGATGGATATGTCTATCTGATGTCTCTCTCTCTCTCTCTCTCTCTCTCTCTCTCTCTCTCTCTCTCTGTGTGTGTGTGTCTCTAGTCAGTCTGTGAGCTCCTAAGATCAGGGGTTGTGTGATTCATCTCTATTCTGAACATCTAGCATGAGGTAAATGGCAAATAAATATTCACAAGCAAATGGATAAATTAACAAATATGTGAATATGTGGATGACTGACGAACCCTTGATAAGATTTGACAATAAATAAATAAAATTAAATTAAAAAGATTTGACAGTAATCCTTATCCCCATTGCCAGGCATCTTCATGCTGCTGCTCATCTTCTTCACTTTCCTGCACAGCTGGCTCAATGCCTTCACTGAGATGCTACAGTTTGGAGACCAGATGTTCTACGGAGTGGGGCCTGGACCACGGCCAACCGGGAGCTAGATTCAGGGAGGACTGAGAAGGGGAAAGAGGAGTTGGTGGTGGTGTTGGGTGTCACTTTGCTGTGTTATTGGCAATGAGCAGTGTGGCTCACTCTGGGTGTGAGTTGATGCCACCCTTCCACTGTCTGACAGCCAGGGCTAACTGCATTTGTGTGGCTGGAACAATGGAATCTTTCTCTCCTAGGAAGGGGCGGCCCTAGTCCTCAAGAGGGAGCTGGAAAAGTGCAGATGTCTCTCTTCAGCCAGAAGCCAGCCCTTCTGGGGCACGGAGGGGCGTGGTATAGGCAGCTGGAGCAGGGAGCTTTGGGAGAAGCTGGGGCCTGGGATGTTCACCTCCTTTCCCTCACCCGGCCCCATTCCTTCACAGGAGTGTTGGACTTCAACGTCCTTTTCCAACTACTACCACACGTGGAATGTGGTGGTCCACGGCCGGCTGTATAGCTACTGTATCAGGACGGCTGTGGGTATGGGCCCTGAAGACCCTTCACTGCCTCTGTTAATGGAGGCTATTGGGGGCACCCTCTCCTCTCCTGCCTCTGTACCACCTGCCCTATCCAGACCCAAGAACTCTATTGATTTAACCTGTCCCCATTCTACCCAACACAGTGTACAGAAAGTCTGCCTTAGAACCATTTTTTCCTTATAGCTTTCACAGGAGCATATATGTAACAATTCAAGGATTTTTACATACATCTAATCAGCACAGTGATCCTGAGAAATAAGGCTTATTATATATCCCAATTTAAAAAGTGTAGCTAAGGCTCCGTGGCTAATACAATGTTCTTAAATGAGACTGACGTTGGCCCTTCTGACCTGGGGTCCCATATTCTTTCCATCGCACCATACTCCCTCGTGGTTTCCTTAAGGAGGGGACTTTTCATGGAGGGACTGGGGAAGACACTCCTCGCTCCCCCTTGTGGGAAGCCGCCTATGAATGGCGCCCATTTCCTGCTTCCGGGTTCTTCCCGGCCTGAACAAGCCCGCCAAATTGTCATATCTGCCCAGTTACCCGTGACGCTAGCCTATCAGCTTGTTAGGCGCGCTTCTCTGTGATTGGATACTGCTTCCCCTTATAAGAGGTTGTTCCTGCCCCCAACGGGCGGAAGAGGAACCAACACTGAGGGTGGCGGACCTTGTCAGGTCCGGTTCGCTGTACGCAATAAAGTTTGAGAGCTGATCCTGCTCGAGTTTGGTCTCCTGTCTCCCGCGGCTCCGGTCACCCCTCACCCTGCCAGTTCCTTGGTGGCCAGGCCCGAGAGGCAGACATGATAGGTGCGTTTCTGGTCTCTGCTGTGGTGTACATCTTCTGCTTTGTCCTGGGGTTCTATCCCATCTGCTGATGCTGTTCCTTGTCTGTGGGGGTGAGCTTGGCCTCCATGTCACTGGAGGGGAGTCAGCCAGAAGAGGAAGCAAAGGTCCTGCTCCTGGGCAACCTAGATTGATGGGGAAGCTACTGGGCTTGAGGACAGGATGGACGGAGCCTTGGGAGAATCAAGGGAGCCAGCAAGGGACAATTCTGGGGATTTCCTGTTCTATGACTTCCTAGTGCCTGAGACAAAGAGAAAGCAGGCCATGGGAACCTGCAGTTGGAATGACAACCTTTTTCCCTACACCAGTGCTGCTGAACTTCACAATGAATGACCACCACACAGGCCCCACATGGAACGTGCTGATGTGGACCTTGCTTTTCCTGGGCCAGGGCATCCAGGTCAGCCTGTACTGCCAGGAGTGGTATGCACGGCGGCACTGTCTTCTGCCTCAGAAACTGCCCTCACCACTGCTGCATCAAGAGTTTCAAAGCAGGGTCAGAGTTAGTGTCTGGCCTGGAGGGATGGGCTCCCCCACTTTGGATATACAACATGGGTCACCAGAAGCATTCTCCTTCACATTCCACCCTTCACTGGCACAGACAACCTTCTGGGACCTGGTGACACCTTGGTCTTGGTCCTGCCATCCCTAGAGGTCAGGACAACTGCACTGCACAGATGACAGACCAAGCTCTTCTCTGCCTGCCCAGCATGGGGCTGGAGTTCTACTCAGTACCGCCAGACCTGCTCTGAGTCGAGGGCCTACATGCAGCACTCCACCTGCACCCATGGGGACTCTGGTCTAGACACATATGGAAGGTTAAGCACAGGTCAGCATGAAGTGACTCTCAGCGCATCTCCACAGATTGGGTAGAGGTCACCCTCCCTCCCAGCTCATGGCTGTGTATACTTGGGGAGATTTGTGGGGCCATAAAGTTGTAGTGAACAGGGACACTCAGAGGAATAGGGGCCACCAAGGCTCAAGAAGTGTTTGTTTCTTAACTTTGTACTCCTCTCAACACAATAAAGTCTTTGTCTCTCTTTATTAATTTATTTTCCTTTGCAGACATGCCCCTGGGGACAGGCATTGTTGAACAGGGGAGGTCTGCAGAGATGGGACTTTGTGGTGAGCCCTGAGGGTGTAACTCAGCGACACAGTGCTTGCCTCATATGTAGGAGGCCCTGGGTTCATCCCCGAACCTTGCCTCCAAAAACTTTCACGGCAGAGCCAGTCTGGGGGGACATTCTGTTTACTGCCTTCCCGCTTCTGTGCTACCCCCTCTCTCACCTCTACTCTTTCTCCAGTTCAAGTGTTATATTTGTCACTTTCCCCTCAATAGGACACAGTACTTGGCACCCATAATTTAAGAGAGGAAATGTTTATTTGGCTCATGGTTTCAGTCTCTGTTTGGCTGGTTCCAAGGCAGAAATGGCATGATGGAAAGGCCTAGTGGAAGAAAGTTGCTTCATCTCTGCCATCCAAAATGCAGAAAAAAGGGAGGAACCAGTTACAAGAATACACCTTGTAGCTGGCAGTGATGGCATGCAAACACATGTAATCCCAGCACTCGGTGTGGGGGCTGAGGCAGGAGGATCACAGAGAGTTCAAGAACAACCTGGGCTCCCTAGTGAGCTAAAGACCAGCCTGGATTACACAGCAAAACTTTGTCTTGAAAAAAAGTAAGTAAGTAAATAAATATATATTTGCATACAAAACTGTTCTAGAAGCCAGACTCTGTGATGTCTTTCCCACAGAGATTTCCTGTAAAACCCAGCCCTGAGGAGACCTCTGGGTATGGGTGTGAGTGGCTATTAAGGGCAAAGCCAGGGCTGGGGATTTAGCTCAGTGCCACAGGCTCCTTCCTGGCACACGTGAGGCCGTGAGGTCAAGAGTTCGATCCCTGGTACCAAAAAAAAAAAAAAAAAAAATTTACAGTATGTGCAGAATCAAGCTCTAAAAAGCAAGGTCCCTAAGACAGCGATAGGACACCTTTTTCTTTTTTCCTTTCAACAGTGAAAATGATGTCTTCTTGGAAGAAGCTTCAGTCTTTACCTTTCATTTGGATGTCATCTCCTGGCTTCCAGTGTAGACTCTTTAGCCTTTCATCGTAAAGCCTTCGGCCTTCTGTCCAAACCCATCAACCTGTTGGTGTGGACTTGCACAAGACAGTCGAGTGAACTCCAGACCTTGAGTTGAATCCTTCGGCCTCCAGTGCATAGACACCCTCTGCACGCATCCTCATCGGACTCTGTGGCTGACCATCATAAACCAATCTTGTTGTTTCTTTTACATCTGTATGTCTCGTGTTATATCTATTCTTTCTAGTAAAACCTTGACTAATACATTCTGGTTCCAGATGAATTTTAGGATTGTTTTCTCTAATTCTGTGAGACATGCTATTGGAATTTTGATTGAGATTGCACTGAATCTGTATAACAGTTTTGGAAGTATGGCCACTTTCACCATATTGGTTCTTCCTACCCAAAATCATGGGGTATCTCTCCATTTTCTAATATCCTCTTCAATTTCCTTTTTCAGAGTACTGTAGTTTTCAATGTAAAGGTCTTATATCCTTTGTTAGATTGACTCCTAGGTATTTCATCTTTTTAGATGTTATTGTAAAAGGTATTATTTCACTGATTTCTCTCTCAGTGAGTTTGTTATTCATGTACAAGAAGGCTATTGGTTTTTAAGTGTTGACTTTGAACCAGCTACATTACTGAATTTGCTTATTAAATCTAGAAGTCTTTTGGTGGAGTTTTTGGGGTCCTCTAAATAGAGTATCATGTCATCTGCAAATAATGATAGTTTAACTTCTTCCTTTCCTATCTTTATTTCTTTTATTTCTTTCTCTTCTCTAATTGCTTCAGCTAAAGTTTCCAGGACTATGTTAAATAAGAATGGAGACAGTGGACATCCTTGTCTTGTTCCTGATTTTAGAGTGAAAACTTTCAGTTTTTGTCCATTTAGCATGACACTGGCTGTTGGTTTGTCATAAATGATCTTATCAGATTGAGGTAAAGACCTTCTATTCCAATTTTCTATAGGGTTTTATCATGAATGGGTGCTAAACTTCGTCAAAAGCTTTTCTGCATCTACTGAGATGATCATATGATTTTTGTCCTTGGCTCTGTTAATAAGGTATATTACATTTACGGGTTTACATATGTTGAATCATCTCTGCATCCTTGGGATGAATCCCACTTGATCATGGTGTACAGTTTTCTTGATGATTTGCTGCAGTCTTCTTGCCCATATCTTATTGAGGACTTTTGTGTTGATGTTCATTAGGAAGACTGGCCTGTAATTTTCTTTCTTAGTTGGGTCCTTCTCAGGTTTTGGAATCAGAGTAGTGCTTGCTTCCAGGAATGAATTCAGGAGTATTGCTTCCCTTGCAATTTCATTAAAGAAGCAGTGGTGTTAGGTCTTCACTAAATTTCTTGTAAATTCAGCAGTGAGGAATACTTTTATTTATGTCTTTCAGTCTATTAGGATAGTATGTTAGCTATGGTTCTGTATAGAACTTGATAGAGTCTGTCAATTTACAGCAGCATTTAGCTATGTAACATTTTTTCACATTAACAATATTAACAAGTTACTTGCTTACTACTTGTTCTTCCTCTTTATCTTCTCCTGACTTGATTTCCCTGGTGTTTTTTTTTTTTTTCCTTTAAGAGAAGTTAGAATTTGGTTTCTTTAAACTTACCCTTCAGGGCACTTTATGATGATACAATGAAGCTAAGAGGATGCTGGAACACTGCCATGTGTGATGAGATTGTGGCAGGCGCATATCAGTACTTTAGACAAGAAGAAACATACAGCTGTGTCTTTCATATTCAGTGACACTCATCACTCCACAGTCCAGCAAGTACACATGTGCCCGCATCCCAGCTGAGGTAGCATCTCTTCCTAGTGACCAAATATCTTCACATGTTACATGCAGCTGTTGTGGCAGCCTCTTTAGTTTCATAAAAACTGATTAATATCTATTAATTTCAATTATACCATGTTCATAGTTCACTGGGTGAAAAGGCTTTGAACTACAGTAGGAGTTGTGTTTACAAAAAAGCTTGTATTGTCAACTGATTTTTGTTGGTTGTTTTTTTTAAGAAGAATTTTGGAGGGACTGGGGATTTAGCTCAGTGGCATAAGCGCCTGCCTTGCAATCCTGTGGTCATGAGTTTGATCTCTGTACTGGTAAAAATACAAAAAAAAAAAACCCCAAAAACAAAAAACAATTTTGAGGGCTGGGGATTTAGCTCAGTGGCATAAGTGCTTGCCTTGCAAGCAGGCAGTCGTGAGTTCGATCCCCGGTACCGGTAAAAACGAAAAAGACAAAAAAAAAAGAAGAAGAATTTTGGAAGTATAGAAAAATGTTTTTTTTTTTTTTTTGTCTTTTTCGTTTTTATCGGTACCAGGGATCGAACTCACGACTGCCTGCTTGCAAGGCAGGCGCTTATGCCACTGAGCTAAATCCCCAGCCCCTAGAAAAATGTTTTTTAATCAATCAAATATGTGCCACTAAATATTTTAATGTAGTAAATAAGTATCTAAAATATTGATTCATGCTATTTAAATATTATTTTTCATCAAAAGAATATCAATATCTTGGTACTTAAAAATACCATAGCCTACTATATTAAGAAAACTAATATTGCCTAGTACTTGGGAGCCTGAGGCAGGAGGATCACAGTGAGTTTGAAGCCAGCGTGAGGTACATAAGAGAGTTTAAGGTCAGCCTACACTAACTAGTGAGATTCTGTCTCAAAAAAGCCCACAAAAAAGGGCCAAGGATTTAGCTCAGCAGCATAGGTGCCTGCCTGGCAAGAGTGAGGTCGTGTGTTTGAGACCTGGTTAAAAAAAAGTCGAAAAAAGAAAACTAATGTTGTGATCTCTGTTTCTTCTACAGAATTCTTCAGTTAGGTAAGGCACAGAAAAGCTTGAATTGTTACTCTAGTCTCTTCCCTCTAGGGAATGACATAAATTTCTTGTCTTCTAAAGAAAAATTATCAGCAGCATAGCACCTGCCTGGAAAGTGCAAGGTCAATTCCCAATACAAATTAATAATAATAATAATAATAAAGAAATATTAAGAAGGAATATTCATATACTCTAATACTTTCTTGTTATCCTTATAATAAGATACAACTCTTTTTTTTTTGTTTTCTTTTTTTTTTGTACTAGGGATCAAACTCACGACCTCATGCTTGCCAGGCAGTTGCTTATGCCACTGAGCTAAATCCCCAGCCCTAATAAGATACAACTCTTAGCTTGGTATAGTGGTGCATGGCTATAATCCCAGAACTCTAGAGGCTAAGGCAGGAGGATTGCTGTGAGTTTGAGACCAGCCTGAGTTACACAGTAAGTTCAAGGCCAAACTGAATTACATAGTGAGACCCTGTCTCAAAAAATTCAAAACCAGGGCTGGGGATTTAGCTCAGTGGCATAAGCAACTGCCTGGCAAATGCAAAGTCATGAGTTTGATCTCTGGTACCAAAAAAAAAAAAATCCAAAGCAAATAAATAAAATACAACTCTTTATTTTAGCCTGCAAGACTCTCCAGGCACAAAGCCCTCATTACCCCTGCAATACCAAATAATACCACTCACTTCTTTGTCACAAGGTATCAGCTTGTGACATCATCATGGTTCCTGAATTGCTAGGCTTTCTTTCAGTCTCAAATCTTTGCACAGTCTGATCTTTTCACCGGGAATACTCCTCCTCCAGAGCACTGAAGTCTGGCTCTTTTTGCTATTCGGAAGACAACTCAGTTCTTACCCTCTAGCCAGCCTTGTGCTAGCTGTGCCACCTGTTGGAATTCCCTGGCAACTCTCTGTTCCATTACCTGATATATTGATTTCGCACTTTTACAACTGAATGATTTCTTTCACCTACTTATTACTTTTTCTTTTGCCCTTCCTGCTGCAATGCTTATCCCGTAAATATGCCATGAAAGGAGGAACTCTGTCTTATTTATTGTTATATCCTCATTTCCTGGAATAATTCCT